ATTCAGAATAATACTGGAACAGCTTTGGAGTTAGACCATTATTACGTGCAATAACCGGACGTTGCAGAACGTTTTGTGTGTTTATGGTGGAATAAAAGTTTTATAATGGACGAATTTAGTGATTTCAGTGACTCTGGGTCTGAATATATACCCAGCGAAAGCGGATAATCTTCTGGTAAGTCTAATTTTCATAATTTAAGTCAATTTTAAGTTAATTATGGAAACATAACCTAAGATAGGTATAAAAACTGTCAAACCGATTTTCATGCATGTTTTTGGTATTATAGATGCAGAATCTTCACATGAAGAACAGTTATGAGTTGACGAGTGATTTGACGTTGTTGAGTAGGACCCACAACCATCCACAAGTATAGGAAATGTTTTTTACCTCAAATAATACATATTTTACAGGTTTTAAAATATTTACAGGTGGCCTTGCAAAAATCAAAAGCAGAAAACGATCAAGGAATGATAAAAATTGGAAAATTAATACAAAAAAATACTGAGAAATACTGGAAAAGAGTACATTTCTAAAAGAGGGTTAAAAATGAACGCAAAACAATTCGAAAACATTGACTGCAACTGCAGAAAGAAGTGTATTGATTTATTTTCATTTACCGAAAGACAAAACGCGTTTGAATCATTTTGGAGGCTTAGCGATTATGTGGCGCAAAATAGTTACATTTTTGGTTTAGTAAGCTTCACCTGTAAATAGAAAACGCCCAAAAAATGGATCTCGTTTAGGAAAGCATACCCATTTTCAATACGTGCTGAAAACTAATAATAAAACACATAGAGTTTGCAAGAAATATTTTCTTGATACATTTAAAATGAGTAACGGCCATCTGCACAGATGCATTTCGAAACGAGAAGCCTCAGATTGCAAAGAGCTAAGAGGTACTACAGGCTTTAGAAAGTTGGACGATTCTGATATTGTGAGGCATATAAAAACATTTCCGGCTCATCAAAGCCATTAGTCTAGAATTAAAAATCCAAATAGAAAGTATTTAAACAGCGGTCTAACTGTAAAGAAGATGTATGATCTATATGTAGAGGAATGTCAAACCCACAATATTGAACCAAAAAAATTGGAGTACTATTATCAGGTATTCAATACCAAATTAAATTTGCATTTTAAACTTCCTCAAGACATCTGCAAGTTGTGCGATGATCTAGAGTTAAAACTAAAAGGTGCCGACAACGAAGTTATCAAAAAAAATATTTCAGCTCAAAAGGAGTTGTATTTACGGAAAGCAGAATCGGCGAGAGAGTCTTTATGAAACGATTCAAAGAAAGCTGCAGAAGCATACATAGTATTTGATTTACAAAAGGCTTTGCCTTTTCCTAAGCTTACAACGTCTGTGGCTTACTACAAAAGAAATCTGTATTTGTATAATCTGGGAATACATTCCTTCAACAGCAATACTGGTTACATGTACGTATGGAATGAAACACGGGGTGGGTGCCGTTCTCAAGACATTGCAACTTGTTTAGTAAAGCATTTAAAGCTTTATGTTGGGAATCATAAACATGTCATTGCTTATTCAGATTCTTGTACAGGTCAGAATCGGAATATAAAGATGAGTTTATTTCTGCTAAAACTTTTACAAGATCCAGTAGTTGAAATCAACGTCATAGATCTTAAATTTTTGGTATCTGGACATTCTTTTCTTCCTAACGATGGCGAATTTGGTATAATAGAGTCTGAAAGCAGACGCCATGGCATGATTTATCATCCAGATGAGTGGATAGATATAATTAAAAACTCCAACCGAAAGGCACCTAAGTTTGTAGTATCTGAAATTCAACATGAAGAGTTTTTAAGCACGAAAAATTTAGAAAATTTGATTACCAATCGGAAAACTACTACGAATGGATATCACTTTAGCTGGCTTAAAATAAGATGGCTTCGATTTCAGAGAGATCTACCCCTTCAAGTTTAATTTACGGAAACCCTAAATCCCGAAATGGAATTTTATATTGTGGATCTTTCCAAAAAGAAAAGTGTCGGTGGGCCTAGTAGGGGTTTGACTAATGTAATGCAACAACCACTTTATCACACAAGAACTGTGACAGTTGCAAAGAAGAAAGACATGATGGACTTGCTGCCCTACATACCACCCATAGACCACTGAGACAGTCACCCGAGGTTCTGCTCAACAAAACCTGGAAGATAGATCTTCTGACGATGAAATGATTTATGATTAGACCAACTTAAATAAAATCGTTCAGATTACTTTTTACTACTTATGTTTTACTGTATTGGTTAAGAATAAACATTCACGTTATGTTCAAAAATTTTGTTGAATTGTTTATTGGAATTTTTATAATTAGCCTAATTATTAGAAATTAACCTGTTTGGAGTTAGACCATTATTATTCTACGTGCCTCATATATAAAAGAATTCAGTTTTACATGTTTTTTTTAGTGTTAACAATACATATAAAAGGATACATACGTTATACTGAAGTCGATCATTCATCCTGCCTTTTAATATAACCAAAGTGAAATTTTTTAGTAACAGCAAAAGTAAAACATAACAGGTTCATTAGTTTTCTCAGCAAAAAAACTTCAAGAATAATATTGACTGGAGTCAAGCAGAATGTGATGTGAATCATTTAATATTACTACAGCACTACAAAATAACTTCCGTGATGTAGTTTTATGAAAGTATATTCTTGTGTTATTGGTATTTATGGTTTAAGCATTGATGATGAAGAAATATTTTTTGAAACAACCCAAAAAAAATGCCCTCACATCAATAACATTATATCTAGATGTTTAAAAATGCTGAGTTTTGTAATCTTATCCTCATTGGAATGTTCCATTTTGAACTTCTGTACTGCTCCCTTGTTAGATCTCTTCTTGAATACTTTCCCACAGTTCAGAACATATTTATCAGGTATATAGTATTTTAAAAAGGCTTAATTTTTGGCAGTAATCGTTATATCAAAATATTGTCACAACTTAATCTTCAATCACATCTTCAACCTTTGCATTTTCCACAAACTTTTTTCATTTACCATAAATTCTCCTAAAAATTCAGGAGAGTTTGGCTCAAATATTTATGTGAATTGAACTAGAAATGTACAACCTTTTCACACAGCAATCTGTCACACTAATTATAGCTTTCCCGCTCCAGTGAACAGAATACCAAAACTCGCAAGTAGATATTACTCAGACATACATATTTGGATCCACATTACAATCTTTAAAAAATCAATTGTTTGAATTATAATGCTTGTAGCATGATACAGCAATACCTCAAGTATAAATTTGTTTCATTTGTATAGATACATTTTAGTTTTAGTTTATTGTTCTACAAAAATTTAAATTGAAAATTGTAAAAATGGGTTTCAGTCAATGGATAATTAAGTTATTTCAGTTTGGGGAGCAGCTACATAAAATTTATTGAAAGTATTGAAAATAATATTCAATAAAGTAATTGAATGACTTGTATTATGTCGATAGACAATTTTTCTGTTATTACCATTTTCAATAGTATTTAATAATTTCCTACCTGTTTGGAATCTCATCGGGCAATTGTGTTATCTTCACTTCATTGCTGTGAAGTAGCTTTATTACATCACTAACTAATGACGAATTACTGTCATCATTCACACTGCTCCCACTCGACTGAATGCTAAAGAAAATCATAAAGCCACATATTAGATTTTTAATAATGGAATAGTAACTTTTAAACACCGATTATAATGAAAAATTTATAGTTATGATAGAGTAATTAGGTACAGACACTGAGTGAACATGATTATTGTCTTGAATATATACGAAGTCTGTTTGTCTGTTTGGTGAGTTTTAATTTCTCTCAAGAAATATTCATTTACTCATCAATTTCTATTTTGTCCCCTTCAAAGTACTACCCGTCAGCGTTTTTTCCAATTCTCAAAGCAGCTCTGATATGCACTTTTTGGTATATCCCTGAGCTTGTTCAACGATTCAGTTTTTATCTCCTCAATCGTCGCAAAAACGGCGTCCGTTCACGGATCTGTTCAATCTTGGGAAAAGTTGCAGGGGGCCAATCACGGTGAATACGGAGGCTGAGACATGATTACGGTGTTGTTTTGGCAAAAAAATTACGAACAAATAATGACGAGTGAGCGAGCAGGTGCATTATCGTGAAGCAAAAGCCATGAATTGTTTTTCCACAATATCGGACATTCTCTTCATATTGCTTCTCACAAGAAGCGGATAGCTTCAAGATAATACTCCTTATTGACTGTATAACTATGTGGCAAGAACTCCTGATGCACTAAGCCACAATAATCGAAGAAAAACAGTGAGCAAAACCTTGACATTTCATCGAATTTCGCTCTCCTAGGCCGTTACTTTAGGACAATTGGACTTTGGTTTCTGTGTTGAAACCATATACCAGTTATGACCGTTTTAAGAATATCTGAATCGCCGTTGCCGTCATTCAACAATTCCTGAGCGATAGTAATGGGGTGTTTTTTTGGTTAAATTCAGCAATTTTAGAACGAACTTCGCTGACACACGCTCCAAAATTTACGTAAAAACTGCATGGAATGAGCCAACCGATATGACGACATCCTCAGCAACTTCTCTAATAGTGATTCGACGATCCTCCATAACAATTTTCTTCACTTTCTCAAAATGTTTATCAGTTGTTTATGTGCTAGGACAGTCGTGTCAAAGATACGGCCCGCGATCGCAAAGTGTCACAAAAAGAAGAATCATGTTTTTTAGAGCTTTTAGACTTCACTCGATTCCTCCACGGAAGTTTTAACATGCGCACACTACATTTATAAATAATTTCAAGGGCAGCGCGTGCCTAGACAAGCGTGTTAGGTACCTATTTAGTTGTAGTAAACAACTCAATCATAGACAGTAACGCCATCTCTAAACAACAAGTTTGATAGTACATTGATAGTTCGTACTGGAACCTCTGGCGTAAAAATAATCTATTGAAAACACTTTCCTAACACCAGAACAAAATTACGGCCTACACATTCTAAATTTAATATATGGCCCTCTGCAAAATTGAGTTTGACATCTCTGTGCTAAGGTGTCCAGGGCGAGCGTCGACATTCACATCTTGTCGACTTTCTGTGAAAAGCTTGTACCACTTGTAAACATTTTTCCGGCTCAGAGTACAATCACCGTATGCCACTTTCAACACATTTCAGGTTTTTTTGAGCACTTAATTGCCTTTTTTACACAAAGTTTGGTGCAAATCTTTTGAACCATTTCTTTCGATAGCAGAAATTCGCCGAACACGCCAAACACTTCTAACTTTTATGCCTCTCACCAACAAACTAAACATGCTAAATAGCTGAAACTGTGAACATATGTTCGAGACGAGTGTACCAACATAAAAAAATCGCTAATTGAATGTGCATAGCTCGCGAAACTTGAACATTCACCTTATTTTTTAACAGACCTCGTATATCAAATAGTAATAAAAATTATGTAATAGCTGGGATGCAAAGTGCAATATCTTAAGTTGTTTTATGTATTTACTGAATGTTAACTTATGCTAAACTAAGTAAAAGTAAAACTATGATAGTTAGGCCTAGGTAAAAGTTGAAAAAAATTCATTTAATTGACGCACTGACATTCAACGACCTTGTTAATTATATCATCAAAAAAAAACAAAAAATGTATTCTTTCTTGTCGAATGTGGTCTTCACATCTTAACAGCAACTCAAAAGTCGCAGTTTACAATTGAATAATTTTGCCACATTTTAATTTCTTTTCTACACTACTCCTAATGTACTTACTAAATCAAAGTCAACTACAAAAACTGCAAACAAACTTATGGAAATAGTAACAGTATTTCAACTGATTTTCTATGATTTCTAAAGTCATTGTTTATTTAGCTGTACATTACCCTGAATGGTTATTGGTTGTCTAACAGTTTGTGAACTACAAAAATAGCATCTCTGTATGCAAGTATCTACAGTCTTTCGGAAAAAGTAACTATATTTTACCTCAACTGATTTGCTATGGTTCCTAGGGTCGTGGAAGTGGGTTGTGAATATCGTCCAACTGTTTGAGAACTACAAAAAACATTCAGCATTTCTGTATGTAAGTCAAGCATAAACTATATCATAAAAATCACATAATAAGCTAAATAAAATAGAAAAAATCAAGTTATTTTCATACATGTTTTGGTTGGTTTTTGGGTTTTGAAGAAGAGTACTTTGACCACGCCACTGAAGATGACTGCTGCAGTTGCAGTTAAAATGTTTGGAGATTGTAACCAAAGAAGACCACGGCAAAACCCGGAAACCAACCAAAACATTGACTATATTGGTTTCAAACATTTTTTAAAACCTTATAATTATTCAACTAACTTTTCACTATACCTCAATATGTTTCCTTGGGGTGTTCCTATTATTTGTGTATTAGGTAATATTTGAGGAAAAACCGGTGCCACTCGGTTATTCTGCAGCCTCTGACCCAGAGTAGCCATATTACTAGAAAAAAAGCATATTCCAATAAGCAAAATTGTATTAGGATAAGAAAAACTTAAGCTGATAGAGATAATTAGGTCAATAGTGCTTGTCATTCAGAACACAAAGCCAAACGTTTTGACAATACTATCATGACTGATTTTCTCAATTTATTCGCAGATGATACGTTACTGTAAATCTCAGGCAATGATATGTATGGTACTATCAACAAGATGAACGATCCCCCATCAAGACTACAAGTATATTTCAATATTAACAAAATGAAACTCAATGTAACAAAATGTAAGGCAATGATCCTAACCACACCCTTTAAATACAAAAACATCAACTCAAACCAACTCAATCTTGAAATAGATAACAATAAAATTGAATTCATTAACCAGTTTAAATATTTTGGATTCATACTTGATAATAGCATATTATTGTATGAACATTTTTCCTACATAAGTAAAAAAATTAGTAAGAAACTTTACTTCTCTAGAATTTCCTCATGTCTTTCAACATACTCCCAAATTACAAAATTATATAACACCATTATCTAGCTCCACTTTGATTTTTGTGGTAGCTTACTATACTCCCTTCATTCGAATAAAATTTCACAACTACAAATGCTGCAAAATCGCGGAATGAGAATTATACTGAAGTGTAATCGTTTTACCAGCATTGCAGCGATGTTAGATTGTTTGCAGTGGGTATCGGTGAAAAACAGATTTTATAAATTAAGAATGATTTTTATTTATAAGATATTACATAAGCTACTTCCAGATTATCTAAGTGAATTTACTACGATTAACTCGCAAATACTTAACTATACTACTAGAGGAAATAATATGTTTCATCTCCCTAATTGGAAAATGGCAAACTCAATGAAATCGCTATTCTATAAAGGACTCGATGAGTTCAATAAGCTACCACAAGACATCAATCAATCTAATACCATTTATGTATTTATAACGAGGATCAGTAAACATATCCTGTCACTGTAAATCACCAGAATGTATTACAACATAATCAATCTTGTTCACACGAATTTACATACTTTAAGTGCATTATTTTATTTTTTAGTATTTGTCTTTCTTTTCTTTTTATTATATAACTATTAGTCTAGAAACATGTTTGTATAACTATTTTTATATTAGGATATGTCCTACTAAATAAATAAAATTCTTCTTCTTCATGCTAGCTTTTATCGTTGTCAAGACATGCTACTTTGAAATTTTGTGTTGAAAAAAAGCATGTGTGACGTCACGAGAAATGTGCAATTATCAGTACAGTGACTGAACCACATATAAAATGTTATAAAGCGAGGCATTCAGTGTTCGACATTTGAATGATGATATGTGAATAGCAATTGCTATTCAACAATTTCTACAATGATTTTATGACCAGTTTGCAGTTTTTTTTCATGCTCCTTCAACCTTGTTCCCATGGATCTTTTGGTGATTCCGATGTACACCTTCCCACAAGTGCACGATATGTGATAAACCCCTGCTGCTGATAGTGGGTACGGGAGGCAATACAAATTCACAAACCCACAGATAATTTCAAGAGAAAAAAAGAAGCTGTGAACCTCAGTCAAATATGGAATCCCATTCTAAGAAGTTCAAGAATAGCAAACAGTATGACGACAGAGAGAAAAAGTCAACGGATATTATTGACAAGTTACTTAATACAGGTACAGGTAGTATCACGCCAGAACTACCCAAATCCAACATAAACACAAAAACTTTCTTTCACAAAAAATGTATTACTCCTAAAAATATACCCCTTTCAATTCAAAAACATAAACACGTTTTACAAAATTTACCTATGCCAGGTAAAGGTCTTAGCACACCTGATGAGTCAACAAAAATACGCGTTAAGCAGCCGAAATATCCAGTCATTGGAGATATCAACTCAGGATGTATGAACCTCTGAAGAAGCTAGCCACTCGCACAAGCAAAAAATAGTGACACTGAATTGAAAACAATTTGATTCATGCATTTCAGAACCTGAATAAGTACACCCATGCAATATACAATACTTTTTTTATTCTCCATACTTCCACAGTATAGGTAGATGAATACAATCAACCAAAAAATAATGGAACTTTGCCGCCGCTTATACAGAAACGTTTGAAACTAATGCCAATTCCTAGCCAGCTACGCATTTCGTATATCTGGTGTCATCACACCCTGTGTCACTAAACCACTTCCTTGACACTGTTTTCAGAAGCATTGGATTCACTCAGAGGATTTTTTTTTGACAATATTCTTCAATTTACGTGCTGATTTCATGTTTGTAATTAGAATGAGCCTACTGAATAGAAATCGAAAATCTATTTCGTTAGGAGGCTCAGGTAAGTATAACAACAAATGAACTGTAGATACATACAAAATCCGGGTATCTCAAACACATAGACACTCAGCAGTCAGGGGACCACCACGCAAACACTATACACAATAAAGTCAGGAAAAACCACAGACAGACAAAAAGAAGTTTGAGCACCAGAGGCTGATTTTATACCAAAAGAGCTTACATCTCAATCTTGCAAGTGCCAAGCAGAATGCTGAGAACCACTCGGAAGTGAGCAGGGTGGAAATTCTAGCTTCTGCACACAGTAACCGTGTGGGAAAACTATCTTCAGGCAGTCAACCCCAAGGGAGCATGGTGATGGCTCTTCAGTCAGTCAATACTTCAAGATACTACTTTTGTTCTCACAGTCCTCATACACTGCTGAAGATATCTGCTGCAGCAGCAGAAAAAATGTTTAATACTTTAAACTTTAAACCATGGCATTGCCTAGATTTTGTTCTCTTCATTCGTGACTCCGACCGTGAAAGCCTATATTCTTTTATTGATTCAGAGAATAGTGTACAACTCTTGAATTAACAAGACTTCAAAGACCTGTCTATTTTATTTCAGGGTTAATTTATGTACTTTATCTTCCTATATTCCTAGAACTAAATACTCTTTGTTTTTCAGAAATTATTCTTTAAGACAATATATCATTTCTGATTTTACTGAAATAACTAGAATCTGGGAAAAAATAACAATAATGATAGCTGAATCATTATAGACTGCTTTGCAACTACAAAAAAACTTAGCTTTCTTTGAAAAAAAATGTTAAATGTTTTTCTTTTGTAGCAATGATTATAACTAAATTTTTTTCTAACAAACATTTTTGGCAGAAATTATCTATTTGTTTGTCCAGTTACTTACCTCATTGCGGCTAAATTATCCGCAATCATTCCATTTGCTGGTATAGGGAAAAACTGTTGTATTCCCACATACCGGTTTCCGTCAGGAGTTATAAATGATTGATAGTTGACCCAATTACTAAAAAAATGGTATTTCAGAAATTGTTTTGAAAATATCAATAACACATTATATAACAATATATTATAATTCAACTTACTTTTGTTGAATTCCAGGTGCCAATAGATTCGCTGAAGGTAGTCCTGTTGGTAACACAATTCCTGGAAGGTTTCTGGGACTCGGGGAGTTTTTCTTTGCTGTTTGGCTTTGAGTAGGGTTCCTCAAAAAATATAAATGAATATAAATAAGTTTTTTCTTTTTCCTTCGTTTGTGTTGTAAGAGAGACAATTATTATCATTACTTTTACCGAGTATCGCCATGAATAGTTATACTATCAGTTCTCTTTCTTTTGTTTTCTATTCAAAGTTATATATCATTGTTATATTATATACATATATCATGTCAAGATTGCATTTTGTTATAGTGAAGTAAAAGTATTTTCGATAGATTAATTTCACGCCAGATTCCAAATTCTACTTATCAAATTGCATAGAAATATTTATCAATGTGGTAGAGGGCTTTACTCGGCAATAAATGTTCTGAAATCTACTAAATTTTGATTTTTCATGTTTTTTTGTAATTTATTAAACACCTTGACGCCCATTAACTTAGAACCTGTATTCTGTTGATGTTAGTCAATTAAGTAACTTCTGTTTTCATAATTACTCAGATTTAGTGTCATAAAAGAATTTAAGTTTTTGAAACGTCGTAATGATTGGTAAGTGTCGATTGAGACTATAGTTAAAATACTCAGCTATTTAAACAGTTCCTTACAACTGTTTTTTTACAGGGACAATACATTGAATGTCCGTTTTTTAAAAACAAATAAAAATGTCTTTCTCACTTTCGTGAGCAACCCCAGACTAGCATATCATTCAAGATGCATGACAATAGATAAGTAGAACAAAATTTTCAACTGTACTGTGTAACTGATATAAACAGTAACAATTTGTTTACTCATTCCATAAATTTGTGTTTTCCAACTACAGTTTTCATTCCTAGAAATTTAATTGACTGTACTTGTTTCAAGCACTTGCTCCTAGTTTTAATTTATTAACTATAGTCCTCATTTAAGATTGAATTATTTATTATTCTGGAATCAGAACTTGCATTATTGAAGTCTGGCTAGGTTTTATCTACCGCTGATGTATGTATTGGTTATTTTAGCTTTTTGAAGATTATCTGGGAAGACACCTTCTTCCAGAAGAAATTCAAATGGCATTTTATTTCACTACCATTAAACAAAAAATGGAAAACAGATCTCTCCTAAAAATATTCCGTTTTAAAATTCAATGAAATTTTTATGACTGAGCCTCGGAATGTGATTGACTGTTTCAATGTGTATATGTATGTACTGTAATTGTAACAAGAGCAGATTGGTCTCTTTCAGTGACATAAAGACGTAATATTAGAAAAGAAATACAGGCTTTGTCTCGTAATGTTATCCACAATGGTGCTGTTGGGGATGAGATAAGATGAGATAAGTGTCTTGCCCCGAAATTTCGAAGTACACCGTTGAGGATGATAGTATTCCATGTAAATGACATTTTTTATTGATATCCTTTCATATATCAAACTGTTTCAATTCCATAACAAATGCTTGTAGTACAAACGGTGTTTTCTGTAATTCAATGTTCATATGAAAGTTGTTTCAAAAGGTTTTTTTCTTCAAATATCTGAAAGAAACTCAATATTTTATTTTAATTATTTTCTTCCTTCCTTTTTTTTGGAGTTTCCCAAATTCCTTGTTCAATGATGGAGAAGTAGATAGCCAAAAGTTTTGTTACCAAAAAAAAAACCATCTCTCCTAAAAATATTTTCTCTTTCATCGTGAAGAAACTTTTTTCTCCCTCCACCTTGTAACTGGTAGACAGTGAAAAAGATATTTGCCTCTTTTTCATTGAGTATACTACTGTGAATAATATCGTTACTGTCCAGTTTCAAAAGTTGAGCCTTAATGGCTATTTGTTTAAATTTGCTTCTTAATATTTTTCCCATTTGGCTGGTTTTCTTCAAATATTTATTAAACTGACGGAAACTTCCAAATCAACACTAACGTCATTAAGATGTAGTGCAATTCAAACATTAATTTTTTTTATGTACAATTATGTAAGACGAATGTCTTCTTTTAGTGTGGAGCTGCCAGTTTCGAAAACTGCTATAAATTATAAAAGGAAAACACAATATTCAACGAAAGTCATTTTTTGTGGAGGAGAAAATCAGTTTTTTTCTCGCTTTTTTGGGTAATTGTTACCTTCCACAATCTGAAAAATATAAAAATTATAATGGAGAACTTTATACAAGTGTAGAAAGGCAAACTATTTAGTTTACCCCGATAAGTTACTGCGTAAAAATCAAAGTATTTTTCACAAAGAAAAATCTTCTATTTATCAGTAACTTGTCGTATTTAACAATTTTGCTTATCAAAACAATGATTAAGGAATAATACTTATCTTTTACGTTTTGACAGATGTCAAAGAAGTTTTTTTAACAAAAAAAGTCAATAAAAAAACTGAAAACACAATGTTTCTCATTTTTTTTGCCAGCCTTACCCACCTTCAATAATGAAACCCTGAGATGCTCCATTTTGGCTAATAACATATTATTTTCATGTTTTATATTTTTTTGCTTAGTTTCAAAATGTTTCTATATACTTTTAGTAATTATTCGAAAGTTCATCATTAAATAAATTTTTTTATGAATACTTTTGTTATTTGTTACTGTCTGCTTTTCCCAAATTCATAATTTTTTATTCAATCCTAACTATTGAATATAAATTTTAGATTATCCTAGGTAACTTCCTAGATATTTTGCTTCGGGTTTGTACATTTTTATAACCTTGTTTAAATTTATGAAATTTCTTCAACTAACCTCTTCCTGGCTGGTTCAGCAATAGGTTCTTCATCAGAGTCAGATTGACCACCGATCCCAACTCTGAAATCAGGATCATTGTCGTTATTATCCCCTTCATCACTTGACTCAATAATCCTCCTTTTTAAACGATTCTTCGACCGAGTATTATACCTTCGTTTCCTCTTACCATTACCTTCAGATCTTTCACTCTCTCCACTGGAAGAAGCAGTTCCAGGTTCTTTCTTTACAGATGTCTTCCACAATTGTGGATTTGATATAATCTTAACAGTTTCCGTTGGCTCTGCATCACTGGTCAGATCAATTTCAATAATATTACTGTTTACAGAAACTATTTCTACCTCGTCATCCTCTCTATTGTTTTTGCTGGATTCGGTGCTGGTTTTGGAAATTAGGTCTTCATTGGGAGGGTCACTAGGAACATTGTTTATGTTTTCACCAAGAGAAGGACTAGGATCTACATTAGCAGCCTTAGGATCAGTGCTAGAATTGTTCCCTTGGTCAGCAATAGGAGCATTATGAAGTTCAATTTGATCAGTGACAATGTCATTACCACTTTCTATACAGGTGTCATTATTTACTCCAACGTCACTACTGGCATTATCGTTCGGTTCAGAATGAGAGGTGCTATCAATATTTTTATCGAGATTATTTCCCAAGTTATTTTCTAGATCTTCATTTGCTCCATCATCAAGATCATTACTAACATCACTACCGTGATCGTCATTTAGTAGATCATCATTCATTTCACCATCACTGAAGTCGCTATCGAGATTAAAAACATTTTTTTCAACAGGATTGTTACCAGCACTTACTTCCATATACATATTGTTTGTGTCATTTTCAACATTGAAAGTTGGTTCCATATTCAACTGTGACTCAACATTTGATGGTGCCACAATATTTGATATTTTATCAACATCCAAAGTTGGCTCTATATTTGATGGTGACTCTACATTGATTGATTTTTCAACACTCAATGTTGGCTCAACCCTTAGTGTATGTTCAACATTTGATGTTGGTTCAACATTTGATGTTGGTTCAACATTTGATGTTGGTTCAACATTTGATATTGGCTCAACGATCAACATTGACTCAGTATTCACAACTGATTTGACCTTATTTTTTCCAGTTTCACTATGTTCATTTTCAGTCAAACTATCAGGACTCTGATTTTTCCTCTCCTGTTCCATATTTTCATCAGAATTGCATTCACTTGAATCTGTACTAACCTCAAACTCCATTGGTTCTTCCGTTTCTTCCCTTTCTACTTTTTGGTCCGCACAAATATCCAGTTCCGTTTTATAAATGGTTCCAAAATAATCAATTACTTCTGGAGGTTCTGTCTTCGAAATGATCAACTGGTGAAGGTCAAAGAGATTAAAATTTCCAGGTGGGTTAGTTTTTATGTAATTCATAATTTTTTCTTCATTTTCCATACATTGTGAAATGAAACTGAAATGATTTTTCATTGACCTTAAGCAAGTTTGACATAAAATAGGGTTTTTGGTAAGTTCCAAATCCTGAAAAAAAATTCATAGCTTATAATACATATGTAATCAATAATACCAGGGTTAATATTTTATTCTAAGCTAATCATCCATTTCTTCATTGAAAAACAAATTTGAAAGGAAAGAATTATCAAGTTCTAATTGATCATTGAGTACTACAAGAGCTGAAAAGTTCCGGGTCTCAATATCAATTATACTCTCACAAAGAGCAACTCTTTATAAAAGTACTCATTTCAAATTAATTATAATGGAGCTTGACATTCAAAAAAATCAAGTGAAAAATAGTGTTGTGATTTCAACAAATATTGATTTATTGTTTGGGTCATTCTAAAATCACTTACCATTTCTGGGATGCATTTTTGAAATCTTTGTGTCAATAAACATTTATTATCCGGTATCAACCACTCACACGAGTCCCAATCCACTAATTCTAAACAGGTTCTGCATATTTTCATCAAACTTTCTTCATTAGTTTGTTCTAATCCAAGTACTTTCTCCAAATCCACTTGAGTCGTTCCATCATTTGTATAGTTATGAATGTTATCTTCAATTTCAAGGCATGCCGTTTTGAAGGAAAAGGCCTCTTGAAGACTACGGTCACATTCTTCACATACTATCACATTTTCGCAAACATCTAAATTCTGAAAGGAAAAGATATCTATTTATATACTTCACAAATTTCAATATACTTATATATTGAAAATTTCAGTTAGATTCATCTGTTTTGTCTTGCTACATCGTTTTTTCTCATATGAAACATTATGTGACCTCACAAATGTATATTTTCAAAAACCTGTGAGAGCCGTTGAAATGAATTTTTACCATTTGGAGTTTTATTTCAAGGTTTTGGGAAAATGAACATATATTGTTTATTTCTGAAACGTTATTCGAAGGGAGTATATTTTAATTTAAAATTTATGAATTCTTTGTTTTGGAATGTAAAGGCTGAATTTATGTTAAGGAGATTTATTGACAAAATGGAGAAATATCAATGTGAATCATATTTAAAGTCAAAAAATTTCTTGGCAAATTTTTTAATTTGCTCTTCATATTTAGTAATTTACTTTAATGAGGTTTTTGGTAAACGAATACCATAAATAGTTAAGGACTGTAAGGACGAATGTTGAATCTGACTGAGGGATGAATCGGAGGATGATATCTAAGTTCGATTATCTGAAGAGATACTTACAACATTAGGAAGAATTATTTGAATCATATCACTCCTATCCCCACTGAGATAATAAAAACTTTGGGAAACTGCTGTCAGACATAATCTGCAAATGTGTGGTTTTTCTTCTTCCATTTCAATGATTCTTTCACAAAAGATTCAAATAGTAAACTGGAAACATATAGATTCAGTTTCTATTTGCTAGTTTTAAACTTTTGGCTCGCCATTAACCTTCACATTATCACTACTAGAAATACTTCCAACTTCTCCTTTGAACAGCACATTTGCACATATTCAGTTTTTATATTCTCAATACTCCAATATTGAAACTTTCATTTGAAATCTAACAACTTCACTGTGTATATAGAACACTAATCTTGCTGAATGCCCATTATCAAAAAATTGAAAAAGAATTCTTTATCTTCTTATTGGCTTCTGGCTTTGGCTTCTAGGTCATTATCCAGGTTTCGACAGGTTTGTTACGGTTCTTAGTTTGTACTGTTCCGAATCGACCGAAATCAGTGCGTCGGTTGTGGACTGAAAAGGTTTCCGCGACAATCTGAACATATTGTCGCGGAAACCTTTTCAGTCCACATTCAGTTGGGTGACTGTTTTCTGACTGTTAGGAACAGTTCGCAAGTTTTCGGTTCGCAATTCGCTAGTTTTCGGTGATTTGTGATATCACCTTTTTTGAAGGCGTTCAGGTTGTGTCACTCGAGGTGATACCACGAATACCTGCATCGATGTAGTTAAAATATTTTTTATCTTGATCGTCCTAAATGACTATCAATTCAATTTTGTAAATTTATCTTCAGCTGGGTTCCACAGCTCCGATGTACGAATGGTAATCCGTGATCGTATCATCATGTGAAAATGAATAATTCACATGAGCGCGAATGTTTATCCGGAACAAATTTCAAAGAAATCTGTAGTAACTGTGTTTTGTTCACACTAATTTCATTCCAGATCTGTTATTCCCACCAAAAGTTATTCGTTCTCTCTGCTTGATCAAAATACATCGGATAAAGATGGCGAAATACAACTCACATTTCACAGATAACATCACTGCTGTGTTCACATGAGCGATAGAGCGAGATATAGAAAAAGTTTTTCGTTCAGATGCGACGCCTATCGGCCATATTACAACGAAGTGAGATGATAAAATAAAAACCAAGTCCTAATAACTGTTTTCACATATTGTTGTGATTTCTTGTGCTCCCCATGAGCGAAAGAAATTTGTTTTACCTATTCATCAGTTTTTTATGATTATATAAACGCACCAAAAACATTATTCTCACAAATTCCCAATTGAAATTAAAACACAGCCAACTCCAAATCAATGAACATAACATATGTTTCCGTTTGGTTATTGCGATCAGTTTTTTATCGTTGAGTTGCGTCATCGTCGGTAGGAATGCTCCACTATCGGGAAATACTTTATAAAAAACAAAATAACAGACAGTATTCAGTATCATCATGAAATAAAACTTCCTATGTTCGTTTAAAAGTGGTTGACAAACTTCCTATGTTTTTTGACGGCTTGTATTCAGAATAGAATTTAATAGAATAGAACTTTATTGCGCCCATAAAAAATACAAATATTTGGACAAGTCACCTATTACATTGAACAGTCACATAAAGAAGCTGTAAATGTAAAAATAAAATTAAATGTAGAGTATTTTTAAAAATTCTTAACATATAAAGAAACAGGAATAAAAAGTGGAAAATATGCACTATAGGTATCTCCAAGCGAATCCTTAAGAGTAACATTGAACTCACTCAGAGTATACAGGCTCATTTTAGTAAGAAGTTTTTTCACTGTATTTTTGAAGTCTGAGTGGCTGATGTTTGATTTTTACAGTAAGTAAATTGAAGCAAGTGATGCCAATTTATTTGCTTTTATCCAATCTTCTTAAGAGGGGCACAATATTATTTCCATTGCATGTTTTGTAGGAGTGAATATCCGAGTGTGTTGTGAATGTGTGATAATTTTCTTTGACATGCAGAACATTGTCGAAGATAATTTGTGAGAATAGAGTCATGATTCCTGTATTCTCAAACAGGCTTACAGGCTTACAGTGTACAACAGGCTTACAGTGTTCATTATTTTCAGCTTTTACAACTTTACAACTCCACTCTTGATAGAGTTGTAGAAAGTGATAATTTCAGGTTTGTGTTGATTCCTAGTTTCAGAATTTATGGTGTCGTCATGGTGCATGCTAGAAGCTAGAATGACATTTTTACCCTTTTTAGGTACGTAAGAAACAATAGTACAGTCCTCTTGATAGCCAAAGAGACTTGATGTAGCTGGTCGATGTTTCGTATTCACAAACTCAATGGGCAATGCTCTCTTATTTTTCCTGGCCGTTCCAACAACCGTCAAATTGTGATTTTTTTTTTCAGTTTTCCAATAAGGGGAAATGACGTAAACCAATTAACCGCATTTTACGTTGCGACCAGTCCCTGAAATAGGAGCCAATTTGTCGATAACTTGTCGCTCTTCTCTTGTATCTTTATCGTCGAAACGCAAGTATCGTAGCAAAAACAAAAATCGCTCTTTGGACATGGTCAGCCAGAACCTCTCAACGCCGGCACCTTTTCTGTCACACAGTTCCTCAACGTTGAGGCGACTACTCCGTAAGCAACCAGCCAAATATAACAAACCCAAGAGAGCTTTTATTTCAACGAGATCAGTGGATTTTACATCCCTGGCTCTTGAAAATCTTTTGGATACGGAATTGATTGTCTTGTTAGTATTTTCGACATTCTAAAACTTTAGCAGAAAAAAACAATCCCCAACAGATCGTCGTGTTCTAATGTTCTTGTTAGGAACATGTTTCTTCCACACCGTTTGCCCATCTGTGCCAATAAAACAGGGCAGTCGAGGTGGTTTTTTCGGAGTTTGAACTTCACCGTCGTCTTCATCACAAGATTGTTCCGTATCGGTGTTTTCAAACCTTTCCTTGATGGCATCGTTCTCCAAGTCCGATTCATCATCCACATACTCTTCTTCTACATCTATTTCTTCAAGCAGTCGAAGTAAACGTTCCTGCTCTCTTTCATGATCCATCTAAAATATGAATTACAATTTTCATGACCAAATGTCTCTAAGAATTGCTGTAGATTACCTTTCGTCACTAAACAAACCACAACATTTAAAGTTCAGCAACAGTTGCGTCACCACTCGCGCCGGGTCTAACAGACTTCATATCGAATTATACAAAATATTCGATTGCCAACCTACTCTACGCTTCGGCGTGTGAAACTATGTCTAAAAGTAGGAAGCTATACGATGTAGCAACCCCCACTTTTATTGCGCTACAGATTGCGTCTGTAAAATTGAAGCGTTGGGTCTGTGAGACTTGGGGCGAGTACTGGAAGGTTAAAATTTATTTTTCCATTACTTTGGATATGGTGGGCAATATGTGAATTTGTCTGTAATTCTCAGGTAATTTTTCATCTCCCTTCTTGAATATAGCTAGAACTTTGGCTGGTTTGAACACTGATGGAAAGAAACCATCAGAAATACATTTATTTATTATGATGGTAAGTGGTTCAACGATTAGCGATGCGCATTGCTTGAGCAAATGAGTACTGAATTCATATACATCTTGCGTCTTTTTTGTTTTCAGACTCTTAATAATAATGATAATTTCCTCTTCGATGAAGGGGCGTAGGTAAAAGGATTTAAATGATGTTCAGGAGTTGAAAGTAATTGAAACATTTTCGGGTATGGCAATATTATTAACAATACTCTACGCATTGTCAGTAAAGAATTCATTAAAAAGGTCCACATCGCATTGATAAACAGATGATGCATCGAACACGTTATTGCCTCTTTCAGAGTTTATAATTTTCCAGATTGTCTTATTTTTATTGCTGGAGAGGAATATTTGATTCGAGTAATAATTTTGTTTTGCTTCAAGCAGCATTCCATTGTATTTTTTACTCAGTTCGTATTGAAATCTATTGAAATCGCTAGGAGATTTTTTATTCATGTCATATGCTAATTAAACATTTAGCTTTTGCTGTTCAATGGCGTTACTGCAGTTTCGTCGAAACTGCAATAACGTTAATTACAAATATAAGTGGTAAAAAGATTGAAAGTTTCATTTCTTATTTTTCATTTAACACACTAGCGCAAGGAATATTTTGAATGACAGAAAATAAGGGTATTAGGATGTTAAAAACAGATAGCAGTGATAACACCACAAACAAATATACTTTTCTCGCTTCGAACCACCGGCAGAGCTATATAAACAAGCCCGAAATATTGCTTCGGAACCCAGCACCCAATTGTCTGTTTTTTAGGCCTACCAGCGTCTGACGAAGCACGGAGCGGAAATGACATTACACCCAGAGCATTTTTATTGGTAATTGTTCGTTATGGTATTATTTTGCTGGCTATAGACCGGTCTAATGAGCTACAATCTTGAGTCTGTTGAAGACTTCTGACAAAACAAAGACTAAAAACTCTTCGATTCTGATTGTTGTTTGCGGGAAGCGGTGGGTATAAGCACATAGTATCAGCATAGGTATAATGTGATGTGTGTCAGGAAAACATTAAAGAGTAAGGTTAGAGGTACATTTAACGTGCCCAGCGCAAAACGTTATAAGAAAATGGAGGAACTGTGACATGCTCGAGTAGCATGACTCGGCCTACAAGAACGTTATAGTTCATTGTTCTCGCCCCGAGATTCAAAAAAATGTTAAAAGGTCATTTATGGCACTCGGAGCGTACCGGGCTTCAATTTGATTGCAGCTTGTCAATGGTTATATCGTCATTTGTCATTTGTCACGAAAATTGATCAATTCAACGGCTGTCAAATGTCGTTTATAACCTTTACATTTCCAAATTTTGTTTTTTCAGAACATAGGTAAACATTGAACTTGCAGAATATTGAGACACGGTTTAAAAAATGTATCAAAATGCTTGTGGAGCAGCAGCAGCTAGCGCTGGTGGGTGTGTTGAAACGGAGAAAGAATGCCATAGTTTGATCTCCAAGGAACCCACTGTACCTGCCATAGAACACGATTATAGTGGTTTCGATATAGTTAAAGCTACTCAGGTATAATTTAAATTATTATTCAACTGAAATAACAGATTCTGACACAATCTATGTAACATATTCATTATTGTCTTTCAATAATTAGTTATAATTCTGCAAGTTTGTGTCTAATTTTAATTGTGGTTTTTATAGGGCTTTAACCTGTCATGTACAATTTGGGTACTTGATAGTAATAAATGGTAAACATTTCTTCTAAGGACTTGCTGTAGTTTTTGAAAAATTTTCAATTTATAGGAACACTTGTATTTTTTTGTCCCATGATATCTTCAACTTACTGGAAGAGTTATATCTGGGATTTTATGTGATTTATTTCTCTAAGACTTAACTATGATGATCGCTGTACAAATTATTTCTTTATGGTACTAGCCCTCGATGGGTTCAGCTCTTATCAACCTAACAAAAATCATAATGTAAAGGTAGCAAATAAAACCACCTTAAAAAAGAATCAAAATACCTAATAACTAAGTATGCCTTACAGTTTCCTAAGGATCCGTGATAGGTCCCATTTTACCTATTTCTCATACATGAACCTACAAATATTGTGACATACCTCTTTCCACTCCAACATTTTTTTCCAAACACCAGAACTTCAATACTCTAAGTTGGCATCTTTAGGAAATGAAGAAAACTGAAGTTTTTTGGTGAAACGTGTGTAGAGAAGAGTATTGCAGTTCTGGCATTCGGTATTTGTTTTGGAGCAGTGTTCCATTTAAAAGAAATGTGAATTGGTAAGAAAGTTCTATTTGTGGCTGATTCATACACCACATAGTTTATCTTTTACTTTTACGTCAATAAAGTCATAATAAGTCAATGGGAGTTTTCAAAGTAGTGTCAAGTTTTGACTTCAGAAACATTTTAAGCGAACCCAAAGATGTAACCAGCGCTAGCGATCAGAAATATTTACCAAATTTTCATAAAATGAATTATTTTAGTATGGAGCATTCGTGAGGGTGAAAGAACTAGTATTGGCAGGATATGATGTTAATGAGCGAGATTGCGAGAATGTCACCCTTCTACACTGGGCAGCCATCAACAACAGAAAAGAGATAATGCACTTTTTGATAGAAAAGGGTGCAGATGTTGATGCAGTTGGCGGTGAGTTGCAAGCAACACCTCTGCATTGGGCAACCCGTCAAGGCCATCTCACTGCTGCTGTGATCTTGATGAATGCCGGTGCAGATCCAACTCTAAGAGATGCTGAAGGATGTTCTTGTATACATTTAGCTGCACAATTCGGACATACTGCTTTGGTATGTAGGTCTATGAATACTCTTATCTATTTTGTTTCACTCTTCATTTATTATTCAAGCGAGTTACCTCTAGTAATAATCATGCCTTAATAATTATTTCATTTCAAAGCATCACAGTTTGGTATAAGTCACGTAAATTCATTCAGCGATGTAAATGCTTATTTATAGTCGGCCACTGACAATCAGATATGTTTAAAATTGACCAATAAGTGAATTCACCACTAAATGTGTATTAGACATTGCTGAAAAAGTTTACTCATCTAATCTGAAATCTTCAAAACGCTTGCAACTCAACTGTGGAAAACCTTCAATTCTGCTTTTATCTTCTAGAAACATTCAGTGAGGTCATAAATATTCCACCCTCCTCTCAAATTTTGAACTAGACAAGATATCAAGGTCGGACAAAATTTAAGTTGAAAGGTGTCACTTTTAATACTTTTTAATAAAAAAAGTTGTGGATTTTTTTTCCGAAATCCACATTGGGATATTAATTCGTTTAAGTTTCAATCTTCAGCTTGAAAAGTAGTTGCCGAATGTATTTGCAATTTCTGTATAGTTTCTGCGTTGAAAATAACAAGTGTTGCTTGTCATCGTAATTGGACTGCATCTTCACCAAAAATTGAAGTGCAATTCGGAAGCCTAGTGACAAAAACAATATACAATACACAATTTTTTTTTATATAAGTACCAATGAAAACAGTGAAAATGGGTGTGCACCACAAAAAAGGGTTTCGTGTGTTTCGTGTGCCTCTTCTAAATGTTCAGTGTTTTAACCTTTTTCACCACAGCTGCTTAGAAAGGATGAAACGTTTTCAGTTTCTCGAAGCTCATAAAGTAATATGTTCTAAAGAATGTGCAAATAAAAAGAAAGATGACAAAAATGAACTCTTTTTTTCCTGATTGATTCGGCCGTTACTTGATGAAGATCCTTAGTAATTTCAAAAACTACACCTCATTTGATAAAGCTACTGTGCTAGCGAAACATGTTGTGGTATATTTTTCAGATAAAGTTTGTGGAGATCGAATCGTGAGGTGTAGTTTTTGAAATGAAAATGACCTACTTTGACTAACAGAACAGTTTAACGAATAGATGACTACTATGGGAGAGAAAGATACCGAACTAGAGAGAGTAGAGAAGGAACACTAACTAAGAGAAGAAGAAATGGTCAGCGAAATTAGGAAGCTGAAAAACGACAACCAGGAGAATGACAATTTTGTTGAAAAATTATAAATAACACGAAATACTTTAAGGATGGAGTGGAAACCGCAGAAGAGTAGTATATAAGAATATTAGACGAACAGAAAATTATCATTTCAGGATTGAACAAGAATATCTTGGAAAAAGTAGAGAAAAACACAGTTCTACAAAAAGAACTTGAAGAAATAACGAATGATCAAAAAACTTCACCAGGATATTTGTATTACAAAAACGACTAGTGAGACTGATATTTGACATGAACTACTTAGAGAGTTGTAGGCCAGTATTCATTAGAGAAAGGCTTTTGTCATCTCCTTGAATATACATATATAAATAAAAAATGTCACTAGACACAAAACCTCCAAATTTAAAGAATCACCACTATATAATGATTCTAACAAATGTCACAAATTTATATAATTTGCATTTATAGAACACCGACCTCTGATATCAACATATTCTTCACAAATTTGAAATCACTACTGAATGAGTTGCCTGTAAATTCTTTGATACTATAATGACCGGAGATTTCAATATAAATTCAAAGAAAAATACTCTGGAAACACAGAGTCTCTGATAAATTTGATGGCTTGTTTCAATTTAAAAATGCATGTTAATACAGCTACTCGTATTACCAATCACTCTGCAACGACAAGTGACTATGTATATAGTAATTTAAACGAACCGTATGTTTCTTGTTCAGCAGTTCATTCAGGTTTATCAGACCATCGGCATGAAGCCATTTGTTGTAAACTCTATGTGATTGTAAACTTAGAATCCGATAAATTTTGGTATGATAGAATTTTTTGCGCAAAAAATTCAATAGGTTTTACTCGGCTTGCTTAGAAAAAAATTGGCAGCACCTGTTAAATTCAAACGATCCATTTGCAGACTTCTACAACAAAATCCGAGATTTATTTGAAATTACCTTTCCTGTCAAAAAAATCAAAATCAAACAAAAAAAACAGTGGCTCACACAAGGGATCAAAATATTGTCTAAAGATATACGTGCTTTATATTATATCAGAAAATTTACAGATTCATATTTTTTCCACTCCTCTTCTAGAATTATCGTAGGATCTACAGAAGTGTAATCAAACGGCAAAAGGAATATGCTATAAGACAAAAATAGAAAATACCGAAAATAAGTCTAAAGAGAGTTGGCATGTGATAAACAGCCTCAGAGGCAGAAATATCAGGAAAGTTGAAGCGTCATTATCGCCTGATGTCCTAAATATGCATTACTGTTCTATTGCTGGAAAAATAACAAAATATATCTTAGATATACCGATACCGATTTAACTAAACTGAGAAATACTATAACAACTTTTAGCATTTTAGCAACTACTTCAGGCATTGATGATATCTCTGTACGAATATTTGAAAATCTACCAGAAAATACACTTGATATCCTGGTTCATCTAATAAATAAAACTTTTCACAATGGTACATTTCCTGATTTCCTGAAAATATCTGTAGTAATTCCCCTGCATAAGGGCGATATATCAAATCCCATCTCAGTTGATGAATTTCCATTTTGTAGGGATGAAATTTGTGTTTCTTAATGTTTTCTTAACAGTTTTTGAAGATACCCTACATTTTGCAACTACCTCTTCAAGTACATCTTCTGTCAGTTCATGGCAAATGTTCAATTCAATTATATTTGGGTTACCTCTTTCACCAAATCTGTTTTTTCTTTCCTTGTTTTTCTTAATCCTAAAAATTATACCAATTTATGAAAATTTTGAACGGCTTTGATATGAACATGACACTAATCGTTGGTTTGCAGGTTCTTGAAAAGAAAATAAATCTGCTAATTACTCAGGAATAGCTGGTCTGACTTCCAGTCGAAATATCATAAACCAATACCCTCTTTCTATAAAAAAAAAAAGAGATAGCTTTTTTTCGGTGGTGAGTGATGTCTCACTATTATTTTTCCATAAAAAAACACTAAAAATGATGCCTTTTTATGTAAATTTAGTCTGACCTCTTTATGAAAATGGTAATTCTGTCAACTAACCACCAATCTGCTGTATTAGTTTAATGTCAAATCAGTATTTATATGTTGAACCTTTCTGTACACCACCTGTACAAAGCGTAGTACAGGAAATTCAAATGAACTTTATGTTTTAGGTAGCATACTTTGTTGCAAGAGGTGTTAGTCCAGATCTTGTAGACAGAGTGGGTATGACACCTTTAATGTGGGCAGTATGGAAAGTATGTAGTTTGGACCCCACGAGGTTATTATTAACATTGGGTGCATCAACAAATTTGACAGATCATCAAGGTAATACTGCTCTACATTGGGCAATATTGGCCAGAAATACCACTGCTATATCAACCTTGATTTTACAAGTAAGATTTTTTTTTCATTTCTGATGTTTTTTTACTCTATTGATGAACTGGTAGAAATGTAACCTATAGCCTAGATTCTAGAATAAATTGAAAACAATCATCTTTCGCCAGAATCAAATACCAGAATTCCAACACTCTTCTAGACATACATTTCACAAACCAATTTAGCGTCCTGATGATACTAACTTGGTTAGTCATTACTTGATTAATCGGAATCTTCAAATTCATTGTTTTTAGCTGTATGCTGCAAATGTTTCCATTCGTAATATCAGTGATGGTATAAGTCATTGATATAAATGATAAATAATAAAGCTTCTGGTACTAAACCTTGGGATACTACATGTGTGACTTCAACCATTCACTACGGCTCAGCAATACAATCATAACTCATTGTTTCAGGGACATGCTGGCCTTCATGCTCCCAATAACAGAGGTGAAACACCATTGTCGATGTTGCAGTCTCAAATTGGGTGTATATGGGTTAGTCAGAAAGTTACTGACATCATAAAGGAAAACTCTCACACATCTAATTCTAGAAATTATTTTAACAAGATAACAAAGGATAAGGTGAGTGACATAAATATGTATAATTTGTATGTTCTTCATCTGAAAGCAGATTTTTTGTAATGAAAATAAAAGTATCAAGTGATATGCCACATTGCAGGAGTTTATTGAAAATTTTTATTCTTGAATGTAAAAGGTTTAATACAGAATCAGGAACAGATTTATTGAAATAGGTAACCCTACTATAACAATAGTGCTAAAGTAACATTTTTCATGTGTTTATGGAGCAAAAGACCTAACATTCAAATTGAATTACACATAATGCAGATGTAAAAATATTTGATGGAATTGGCTGATACTTGATGAAACTCCATAACTTATTCAAGACATGCTTTGTTATACAGTAGCTTCCCCAAGTGATATCACACTGACTAAATTCTACTTGATTCGTGCTTTATATAATAACGATTTGAATTATGTAACCTTCTACCTAGGTAACGACTAAAACTTTTCCTGACTTTAAGTAATTAGTCTTTACCTAAACCCAGGTAATTACGTCTTTACCTGATAGCTTGTTATATTCTTGGAAATTCCTAAAAATCAATGATTTCATAGTGTTAGGAATCACACGTTAAAAGGTAAGACCACGTTAGTCCCTAGCTCGCACAAGTTTTGATTTCTTAGGGTTGTCGTTCGTAGGGGTGCGACAGCTGGTTAATGGAAAAACAGATTTTAAACAGATTTATTGCGTTGATTAGTTCGAGCTATCTAAAAACTATTATTACTTCTAGTGGGATAATTGTGCACATCAGATGTCAATACAATATATTCATTAAAATATACTAGACCTATGTTATTTATTATCCTGTAAATTAAAACCATGGTCAAGAAAATTCGTTGATACTAAGAACCATTCTGATATCTTCACCACAGGAGTTAACACGACTAGTTCTTAGGATCATTGTTATCCCTCAACTTTGTAGTTTTTGTAATTGTGTTATTTGATTTAAAGTAAAGAGAGATAACACAGACGAGCAGTATTCAAAATGAGGTTGAATAGTAAATTGAAAGACTTTTAGTCTGGTTTGCATTGATCATGCAATTCGAGAAAAAAGTATCATTTTTTAGATTTTCTTTTAATATATAGTTGTAATGTTCGTAGAATTCTAACAGATTATCTAGTTGAAATCCAAAGTATTGAAGTGATGTTACATGATCAAATTTTCCATTATTGATGATCATATTGATTTCATTGGGAATTATTTCATTATTATCATATTTAGTTATAATAATATATAATAATAATGTTTATTTTCATTTGACCCAAACAGGTTTCGAAATTGTCAGTACACCTATACTGAAATTTAAAACAATAAAATAAAACACAGATACATACATCAAGTTGAAAAACACAAAGCAGATTAAAATTTGTTTTGGATTTAGGAGTCCTGTTTAGTTGCCATAAATTCTCCAAGTGAATAAAACGCATGACCTTTCAGATAGTCTTTCACTGCTTTTCACTCTTTATATTAACTGGAAGGTTATTATTTCTAGTAATATACTTATTTACATCTTTGAAGGTTGAGAATTCATTTATATGTTTCTTTACGTAACAAGCAGCCTTGAGAATATATAGACTGATGAGAGTTGAAATATTTTCATTAATAAATACACAGTGACACTAGTCAGTGCGTTTGAGATTGAACATGCTTCTGAGGATACGTTTCTGCAAAATTAATACTCTTTCAATATTTGTACAATTTCCCCAGCATAAAAATCCATATTTCAACTTAGAATTAACACATCCATGATAATACATTTTCAGAGTGGATATTTTGTACAGTTTTAAAATCACATAGTTCCATACTGAAAGCTGTTTAATCAATTTTCCAACATGAATCTCCCACGTTAACCTGCTATCTAGGTGCAAGCCAAGGAATTTCAAGTTTTTACTATGTTTTAAAGATGAATTTGGAATTTCTCCTGTTCGCACAAGAATACTATGATCTTGTTTGTGTCCAATCGGACTGAAATACATAACACCTGTTTTAGAGAGGTTTAATGTCAGGCCATTTGCAATACACCAAGTTTTCATTTGACTAATGCAATATGTGGAATTTTTCGAAAGCTGTTCATCACTCATTGCCAGTTGTTACTACCATTGCCTTGGTTTTTTTTTACATTCAATTTCAGTTTACTATATTCTAGATAATTAACATTTTCAAGGACAGAATTCATCTTTAAAATAGCAATTTTCAAATCTTCTTAATTACAAGCAACCGAAGTGTGAATACAAAATAAAAATGTGACCCGACGACACTACCTTGTGGCACACCAATATCTACAACATTTGCAGATGAGAGAAAATTGGTGATTTTCACATTATGTTTTCTGTTGAATAAATAGTTTGTAAAACAATTTGGAACACTATCACGAATTCCATCATAGCCTTTCATTTTGGTTAAGAGAATATTTCTATCTACAGTTTCGAACGCCCTCTTCAGGTCGAGAAACACAACAATCACATATTTGCCATTATTTATCTATTTTTTAAACCCACATAAGAATAGCTGTGTGGCAATTTTACAATTGTTTGGTTTGTTCTTAATGGACCGGGTTCAATAATGTATAAATTATTAAAATAACTGAAAATTGTCCAGCGAAGTTGACTGCAAAGTTCTATTTGTTCTAAAGGTTCAGAATGTTTTTTATTACTGAGACATAGAACTGGAATCTCTGGCGTCAGTTTGGAACCATCACAAACTGTTACTCGTAGTTCACCTAACCGTGGTTGATGAAATATGCATGAACAATAAAATTTTCCAATCTAAATCGAACATAGTTGTTCATTTCTGTCAACTAAATGAAAATATTCTTATTGAATTTTGGAATGAAACTGTAAATATTCCTTGGGATGAATATAATGTTGTATTATTATTGTGGTCCACTGAATTGAATAACCTATAATCAAAGTCTAAGATTGAAGTTCAGTTGAGATCCTGGGTACTCCCTTACTTAGACTCCTAGTTTTTGAATAAATATTCACCCCTTCCTTTCTTCCCAAACTCACCACCGATCTCTCTCACCCATATCATTCAAAATTCAACAATATGAACAAATGTCAACTGAAATCATCCTCTTTTGTAATGAATTTTAATAGTCACAATAGTTTGGAATCGTCTTTAAATGAAGAACCGATTTGAAGTAGAAAAAGACGGGACTCAAACTCCAAAGTCAGTTTTTAGTTGATGCAATATAAAGATTTGAATTCAATCCATGAATACTAAATGTATGAACATTTTTTCAGAGAATGAGGTGGTGGTGTATGGTGGGAACCCCTTTTATGGCTTTCTACTTAGCAGGAGCAATACTAAGCACAAACTTAATAATCCTAATAAAAATATTTCTTCTAGTCTGCTTATACATAGTGATACATTACGTCGGCCAATTGTTGTACGACGACAGGCTAATGGCACTTTTACCGCTCAGTATTTATTTGTCGACGAAAGCATGGTTTTACGTCACGTGGGTGATATATATTACACCCGTGACCCACATTCTTCTGACCGTCTTCTTCCTTGCTAGCTCGGGGTTGCTGTGGTACTGCTTTTTGAAGTCGTGGCTCGGAGATGCGGGAATCGTTAGCACGTCCCAACAATTGCAGTTCAGAGTAAGTTATCAATTGATTGATAAATTGCTTTATTGTTTGAAGAAAAATGTTCTTGTCACAATGCTCAACTCATAGGTGAAGATAAAAGAAAACTCATAATTTTTTTGTGCATGTTAACACGTAATTGTCGATGATATAAAATGAAATAAGAACAGATTCACTACACAAATAAACTATTACATATACAGTGTGTAAAAGCCAAAAGAAATGAATTCATTATTTCGGTTACGGGACATATTTTAACAAAATCCCGAAACACGTCAAATTTAAATTATAATTTGACATACTTCAAAGGAAAAATGCTACCCCTACCTTCAACCCCCGTCGAATGATAGGTACAACCCCCAATTTTTTAAATGGAAATACAGATAATTTTCATTCCATGACGGGATCCAGTCTATTTGTATATAGTGTGTAATATAGGGGGGCAATGACAGTTATATTCACAGTGATACTATTAAATCTGTGCTCTTCAATATCTCTCTCACGTGTTTAGTATCAAACTGTTAATCAGTTAGTAATCTATCATCCTAGAACAATATTATTTATTATGGAGGATTCAACAACAATTGCATAATTTGCATTGAAAGTGTTCAACAATCCTTTTTTGTCTGATCAAAGAAACCACTGTGATAAAAAGTAGGCAACATCCAAAAATTAATCACTCCTAAAAAAAATATAACCCCTTCAATTCAGAACAATATTATTGTGGAGGATTCAACAACAATTGCATAATTTGCATTAAAAGTGTTCAACAATCCTTTTTTGTCTGATCAAAGAAACCACTGTGACAAAAAGTAGGCAACATAAGAAATAAGTGTGATTGAAGATAGCAGAATAAACTGATAGCGGATGTATAGTCCATAGGTGCACTTCTCTAATTTATTGCAGGGAAAAAGCACATATCACCATGAGCCCTGAGAAATACTAACAACCTACGGTACCTCTGACGTATGGGTGAAAAATATGGCCTCCACTAAAATTATATCAAGTTCGCAGAATAATAAAAATGAAACTAGGAAAAGCTTCAAGTGTTGTAGGAAACCATTAAATAACTTTGTGTGTGTGAACTGCTGCAATGTTTATCATGAAAGTTGTTTATTGAGAAAGAAAATTGAATATATAAACGCACACAAAATCATATGCTGTCAGGAAGAAAATAGTTATATAGATACAAGTTTGCTAGAAAAACTATTCATGAACTAAGTGAGGAGAACATGGAGAAAACAAATCATATCCTGAAACTGAAAAATCAAAACCAGTAACGTTAGTTACAAATAAAAGTGGCAAAAAACATAGAAAGTTTCATTTCTCTTTTCAATATACATTTTATTATTGAAAGATTTTCGAAGTTGGTGAAGCCTTGATCTTTGTTATTTGTGAACTTTTTCTAAAAATAGTTCAATATTTACAAGAGGTGTATAATCATACTGTACTTATAAAAAGTTCAAATGTTTGTTTCAATATTATTTTCACTGTTGTGTTTTCAGACTATAATTGAATTAGCTGAAAAAGGACCGGCAGGATTTGAATCGTCTTCGTTTTGTTCGGCTTGTTTGGTTAGGAGACCATTGAGATCAAAACATTGTGCAGTATGTAATCGTTGTATTGCAAGATTTGACCATCACTGTCCCTGGGTGGCGAACTGTATAGGTGAGTGGAAAAATGAACTTACAATAGTACGTTTGACTTTTGAGAAGACTTCTTTCATATTTAGCTTTGTCAAGCATCTTAAATGGGCTTGTTTCATGCTATGGAAAATGATACTGGTTTGCTTATAGAGTGATCGAGTTAGGGGTATATTATACTTATCAAGCCTAATCGGTCCCAAAATCTCTTTATATTTGCAGAAACGAGAACAATTCGAAAAGCAAGAATTTAAATTGGCCGCGTGTCTGTTGACCAATAAAATTGATCGTGTCTAGAACGGAGTTGCCAAGTGTTTTGGTTTTTAATATCCAATCACAGATCTGATGATTCAATTTGATAGACGCCATTTTTGTTGTTATTGTTGTCAACTCAATGTGAATACAAATGTTACAATCATCTAATTAAAGAACGTTTTTTTTTTGTAAAAGGTAGGTCTCGGCGAGTGCCTGTTTTGCTGCATATTCCGTGTCATTAATTTACATTCCGAAAAATATTTTTTCAGGTTATTTTTAGATTGAATTTTAGCATTACTACCACCAAAATGATTAAAATATGTTTTATACCTAGTTGTAAAAACAGATCATCCATACCAGACAAAAAGTCTGGTTTAGTGTTTCAAAAAACTAAACTCTAAGAGATCTATGGTTTTCTTCAGTTGGCCGAGCTGAAATAAAAATTACATCAAAACTTTCCATCCTTCGATAAAAGACAAAGTCTGAAATGAATGTCATATAAATAAAAGGGACCTACTAAATATACCACCTAGCGTTTCAATTTTTCATTCTTTATTTCGGTACCAAAGTATTGCAAATTTTTCAAGTAAAATTGATTGATCATTTCAAAATCAACTCTTGGTAAGTTGTCGGAGTCAGCTTTTACAAAACTAGGCTCATCATTCATTTTGAAATTATTTTAACAAAAATACGAAATTATGTGTGGAAACCATTTACATTAGAAATAGCACATTGTCGCATACACTAAAGAGGGTGCTGGCTGACAATATGGCTAATATACCAGTAACGTTGAATTTATATTTTTTGGTGGGTGGCATGAATGCATAATTGATTTATTTTATTAGGGTTCGTGAGTATTCGTAAACCATTTGAAAATACAGCTCATTAAATTGTATTTAGAGTCATATTTAGATATAACTTGTACTATATCAGTTATCAAGTTGATAATGCTAATGAATTTTTTATCTTCATTTCAGGAGCAAAAAACCACATGCACTTCATAGGATTCCTGGCAAGTTTGGTTTTAATGTGCACTCAACTGCTGTACGGTTCATTTAAATATTGGCAAAATGCACCAAACTGCAATATAACTGACAATGCAGAAAGTTTCTGGAAAACGATAGTTACCATAGGGCAGTGCAATACATGGGTTGCTTGGGTCGCACTCAATGCTCTTTTCCATTCCATATGGGTGTTCATGTTGTTGATATGTCAGATGTATCAAGTAGGTATAATCACTTTCATTTTGAAATAAATGTATAACTTGGGGCTGGTGAGAAAGTGACCAGCTGATGTGGGAAATATTCATATTTTTTTTTATAATTCAATAATTGAATAAAACTGGCCGATACTTGATGAAAATCCATATTGAAAAACTAATCAATACAGTTTATTGTATGATTTTCACTTAAAGGGTTTTACAAAAACCGCGACACGTGTTTCGCTATACAATGAACTGTATTGATTAGTTTCTTAATAATTCAGATTCAATTATAACATTTGATTGTTAATAATGTTGATAGTAAAAGAATGAAAAGTTTCACTGCTGGAGATATTATCAAAGGTGATGCGATAATGGACGCAATGCCCAAGTTGGTGTTTGGGCACCAACAACTCAAGCACCAATTGGCGCACTGCGACCATTACCACATCGCCTTTGATAATATCTAACTCAGTTATAGACGAAACGTCAGGAATAAAAACCTGCAGACCACGGTCAAAAAAACAGGAAAATAACTTTCAAGCAATGTTGATTGTGTTCATGTATAAGTATTTGTTTATATTTAGTTATTGTTCTTCTATAATCATTGTGTGTTTCTTGGGATTAGTAAATGTTAAACGTACTAAGTAAAACGTAGTTCTGAGGAAGATATTCTAAATTCTATTAATTTGAGATTTCAATGCTTTTCAACAATTAATCAAACACCTTTATTACTGAATATTACTGGAGCTTTTTTCCCAACACCAAATCGTTATTTTCAACACCTTGACACATTTGTTTGAGGGTGATTGACAATGTTTCGTGATGAATTTCACTAGTTCGGACTTCCATTGTCTACTATATAAAATGATTGATTTTCACTTAAAGGGTTTTACAAAAACCGCGACACGTGTTTCGATCACCAAGTGATCATCTTCAAAGAGGAAGATTAAAACTCATCTTCCTCTTTGAAGATGATCACTTGGTGATTTTACAAAAACCCAACACGTGTTGCGTTTTTGTAAAATTGTTCAGTGAAAATTTATACTAAACTAAACATTATATTTTCCCATGTCATTTTTTTCTCATCTTTCTATTTTGTTCCAGATCACCTGTTTAGGAATGACTACAAATGAGAGAATGAACCGTGGTCGGTATTCGCACTTTATTGCTAATGGGGGCAAAAGTCCGTTCACCAAAGGGCCCGTATCGAACCTCATCGATTTCTTTGATTGTTCGTGTTTCGGCATGATCAAACCAGAGTCGAAGGACTGGTTGACAAGTTATGATATCGATAAGAATATCGAGCATCAGCCTCTTTTGAGGCACAAGGACAATTTCCAATACGTATGAATTTACATTTCCAGAGAGTTGACTGATTTTAGGAAATGGAGGATACCATGAATACCTCTTCAATTTAAGCTGAATAGATGTACATTTTGAATTTTTCACAAGGAAAAGTAGCGAAGAATTGAAGCTGATATTCTCTATTTACTAAGCTAATTTTTATAGTGCGTTGTGATTGGATTTTTTCATAATTTTTGTAAATTTTTTTTATCGCTAAATGAATGTGATTTGATACAAAAAAGTAGAGGTGAACCTTTAGGATTCGACTGGTTCTTTGTGAACGAACTTCTGTTGTAAAGTATTTTTTTGTGATGCCACTTATTGAGTCATTCAGAAAAAAACTTGAGCGATTGTTAGTTGTTTGTTAAGTTTTTATTTATATATTATTTCTAGCGAAAATATTTTTATATATTTTCATTTTTAGTGATGTCTGAAATGTGTGGATTTACTAAAATTTCTCAATTCAATTCAAAATAATACATATATCAGATATTATAAAAATCGCCTTAATGTGTTTAATATCGATGTGAAAAATTGTTTTTACAAGCAATGTTGATGTAGATAAAAATTATATAAATGAAATGAATAAAAATGCACATCAAATTCAAATATCTATTTATACCACTAAAATATTCAATTGCTCGGCCCACAGGCAGGAAAATATTTGTGCAAATATTGTTGCAATGACCATTTTTTCACCATTTTTTCCCATTATGTTCCACAAAAAGTGTGTATTTAAAATTACGAAATTATTGTGTGTTATTGCTTAAGATTTTTTTTCTAGTCAAATACATCATACTTAATATTTATTATACCTGGAGTTTATTTTTTTGAAGAATAACCTCGGTTTAAGATGATTCATTTCATTTCAATTCAAAAATGTCTAAATCTAACCTTCATTTTTACTTTGTTCAAAAAAAAAAAAATTCGCGTAAGAATTCATTTAATTGAAGGAGGAATAAATACTTTACATGGTTGAAAAAACTGTAAATAGTTATGAAGGTTCCGTAGGAGATTCGGAAAATTATTTTTATTTCGCAGATTGTCTGTATGGTCCAAATCTCACAGTTTTTTATCAAAAGAAAATACAAAAAATACAAAATTCTTGCTTGGGATTGATTTTCGGTATTCGTAAATATGTAAGCATTACCCATACTTTGAAATATATAAACTGGTTGAATATGGATAATCGGATGTTGCTCCACTCTGCAAGCTTATATCATAGTATAATTAAAACTAAAACACCAGAATGTCTATATAATAAAATCAAATTCCGAACTGACGTACATACATTGAACTTGAGGTTTAAAGGGCTTTTAACTCCCCTATTACACAAAACACAGCAATATGTAAGATCCTATAGTTATCAGATCTCAAAAATTTACAATGAAATTCCGAACAGTTTTGAAAGAGATGAAGTTAGATAAGTTTAAAGAGAATCTGAAAATAATTTTATTGGAGAAGCAGAACACCCCTCGATAATAATGTTAAGAATGTTTTTTAATTTATTCACTTTTTCGTTATATGGCGCGTTATGAGGTTGAGTGGAAGAGCAGCTCAATTGAATAGTCAAAAAATATTGTCATATCATTTTTTTAAGCTGAACTCCTCCTATTATGCCAACAATTAGCATTTCAAGATTAATTATTTATTATGAAAAATGGAAAATAAAGTCGCTATTATTATTATTATTTTATTTATTTATTCGGTACAAAACTTCCAACCAGAATTATGATGGTATAAGAAAGTTAATGAAAATTGATAACAACATTTGATGATGACAAAATATGAACATTCAAATAGTTTCAATTTAATGATCATCAAAATGTTTTTGGAAAATATATGAACTGTTTTCGATTTTTTTAGGCAATTTATTGAAAAGTTTTAAACAATTTGAAATCGGATTATTCTTTCTTTTGGTAGTATGTATTACATCAAAAAGAAAATTGTAACATTTTGTATTATAAATATTACTGGAGTTTTATCCCAACACCAAACCGTTATTTTCAACACCTCGATACATGTTTCAATCACCAAGTGATCATCTCCAAGATGAACACTAAACTGTGTCATTTTGAATAATTCCAATGGAGTATTTCATGGCTCATGTTTTTCAACTTTGTTGATTAATTTGTTCTCAATTTTAAGATTCAGTTTTATATTGTTCATATTTTTTTACTTGAAAATCACGAAAACTGCCTTTTCTTAGTTGATTGATGAGGTCATTTAAACATTTCTCGATTTTTTTTTATTTTTATTTATTTACAATGAATTATCATTTCCTTCACATTAAAACAGTGAAATTTGATCAGCAAATGAAAAGTAATTATCCATCAAACCTATATTTTTAATATTAGAGTACATAGAGTAACTAGAAACATAGAGTAAATAGAAAATTGGGGCCAAAACCAAACCTTGTGGGACACCAAAATTTTTTTACCACTTTTATTTGTAACTAATGTTACTACAGTTTCGTCCTATAAGGACATTTTCAAACTTATACATTAAACTAACATTGAATTATTACATTAGCCCTTATATACTACCCCTATAGGTAATAATACAGGTATTTGGCTTGATTGAGTACCTGAATTTACAGTGAGTAAACTAAATCGATTTGATCATTTAACAGGTTGCACCCGCAATGTTTATGCTTGTGAATTTCCAAGGATACTAAATAATTGAGTTTGTAACCCTTCCTTGCCTAGTGCAAAATTTCCGTATCATTCAAATTCGGGAACTTGTGGTTGCATGCCAAGGAATGGTTTGAAAACTCAAATCATTTTTTCCTAGTCTGAAGGACCTTTCATGTTCAGCATACCGTTTTTGGAAATTTCGACCACATTGTCCCACATAAACACTATTACACTCCGGACATATAAGCTTTTAAACTCCAGATTTCTCCAACTTATCAACCTTATCTTTGGCATTGAAAAGGAAATCAGATAACCTGGCATGTGGTCTGAATGCCACTTCCACATTGTTTTTTATGAAGAAACCCGCAATTATCTCTGTTCTTTTTTCAATATAGGTTAGAGTTACCCATTTCTTGATTTCTCGTTGTTTGACCTGAGGGTATGTTAATCTGTAAGTTAAGTGATCAAATCGATTTAGTTTACTCACCAGTTTTCAAATTGGCACATCCACATTGTAAATTCAGGTACTCAATCAAGCCAAGTACCTGTATTATTACCTATAGGGGTGGTATTTAAGGGCTAATGTAATAAATCATTGTTAGTTTAATGTATAAGTTTGAAAAGGTCCTATAGGACGAAACTGCAGTAACGTTAGTTACAAATAAAAGTGGTAAAAATATAGAAAGTTTCAATTCTTTTCTTCATTATGATTTCCTACCACGTAGTAACGACTACATCCATCAATTTAAATAAGATGGGACCTAATACGGAACCTAGGGGAACTCCACGGCATATTTTGGAGAGGCCAGAAGTTTTTATTTCCTACCTTGACAATCTGATTTTTGTCATAATGATAAGAGCTGAACTAGTCCTCTGAAATGGTAAAGAAACAATTTCTTCAGCAATCACATTAAAAATGTACCCCAGATGAAGCTAATCGGGTTGTTCATGCACCAAATTATGATCTATATGCAATTTACAAGTTTTTTAAGATTCACATTGCCTCAAATTAAACACTCCTAAAACAATTAGTATAAATTTTGCTTCCCAAATATCAATCAATGATAATATTACTTCTGCACCAAAAATAAGAATAATAATGTCTTTATTATTTCCTTAAATTTCCTATTTAAATGAAAATAATATGTTTTTTATCGACCTTTTTTTGGGTATTTGTTACCTTCCACAATCTGAAAAATATAAAAATTATAACGGAGAACTTTATACAAGTGTAGAAGGGCAAACTTTTAAGTTTACCCCGATAAGTTACTGCGTAAAAACTGAGTTCAACTCAGCAGCGGAGAGTGCTAATCTGTTGTTCTTCCACTTAACCCTGAAAAATACCTATGCGTACCTATTGATATGATTAGAAAGATGTAAAAAAAAGTATACATTTTTTGGTGAAAGCTGTAGTTTTCAACTTTGGTATGTGAAAATAATGAATGCAAATCTACTAATAAGTCCTGAACAAAAGGTTTTTGAGTTGTGATACTTCTTGTTTTGAAATTTGGTGGAATGGAATTATATATTTTGCAAATCTGGTAACTAAACAAAAAATAAAGACTGGATTGACCAAGAGCTTGGCAGGCCCATCATTACCTGTGATTCCTGAATGTCAGGGCATTCAGGAATCACAGGTAATGATAAAGCTGATGAATGCGCTAAACACGGATCATCAACTTCATATATAGGACCTGAACCAGCTCTGGGGGTACCAAAATCTTGGTACGAAACCAGATTAGGACATGGACCAATAAGAAGCACACAGAGTACTGGACAAAAGTACCTGGCAACAAACACAGTAGAACCTTCATTAGGGAACCGTACGAGAAAAGAACTGAAGAACTACTTCAATATAGTAGGGATCGGCATAGAATAATTACAGGGTTACTAACCGGTCATTGTCCGCTTAGAGGACACCTGAATAAAATGGGGCTGTACAACGGAGACCTCAGCTGCAGATTATGCAACGAAGGGATATAAAGATCTCTACACATCTTATGCGAATGTGAGGCACTGAATCACAGGAGGCAGGCAATATATGGACGTACGAAATTACGTCCAGAAGAATATGACGAACATCCAACACGGAACCTGTACAAACTAGTACAGGGAACGAGACTGATGGAATGGGTGTCGTGAGAAGATGGGAGAATAAACGCAATAAGCCCAAGAGGTTGCAGTGTTTTCTGGAGACTTGGACTTAATGGACATGTCAGACAGCACACACACAAAGGGCATTAAAAATTTTAAAAATTGTCTATAACAACAAAGAGTTTCTCTGTAGGTCCACGAAAGTTCTATCCAGTGGGATAGTCTATACCAAATCTGCCTAGCCACCAACTTGGATAATTGTCATCCAGCCTGTCATAATGAGTAGTTTATGTCAGCCATGCACGCTACTGTCACAATGATTGTGGAAATTTTGGGATAAATAAAAAAAGTTCTGTTTAAACATATATTAAAGCTCAATAATTTGCACTTGCATAATTGCTGACATTGTGTCGGCGTGATTTCCGAAGCTTGTAAGTGTAAGTAAAAAACTGCATAATATAAATGGTAAAAAATTGAGTTGTCTCAGTCTGCCATGATTAAAATCTTTTACATTTTAAGTTTGCCAATCAAATATTTCAGAACAGACTGTCTAATAATGTCTATCATATCTCGTGTTCGTTTTGAGATACTAAGAGTGAGAAAAATTCAGCAAATAAATGATTACCCCTCCTTAAATGTAAAAAAAGCTAAGGCTAATAACACAGATGTATAACTTAAAACTATATAATATAAAGAGCTCAGTTAACTTTGGACGGCAAAAAATGAGGTTAATGAACAATAACAGAAATATCAATTATCTAGCCCCCCAAAACTGAATGTGAGCTCAAAAAATACACAAAACACACCCACTTGTTGTGATCCTGGTGCTACCCACTACATTTCAAATCTTCACAATTTTCTTCTTGTACTTTGAACCGGACACAAAATTAATCACAGTCTGAAATTAGAATATTAAATAGAATACTGTGAGTGAACATACACTCAAGTCTTGAATTCCGAGCAATCAAACATCTTCTTGACACTTTCTTCATTACTGAAATATAATTCTGAATATGTGACAACTCTACGAACCAAAAAATCACAAATGCAATCTTCTTTTACTTTCTATTATCCACAACAAAATTATTTTACCTATTCTAAAGACAATTTCCTTAAACTAATGTACGCTTCAAACAATTTTCATGAATACATCACTTCCATCACATACATGCGAAATGATGGGGTTTTACAGAAAATATTTTTTTCTTATTTATACTTAGCATTTCTGAAACTTCAGCAAGTTAAATATTTAAACAATGATTTCTTCGATGGATATGATTTGCTTTTTGACCACTCTCACTTGTGGTGTTTGGCATACATCACACTACTGTAACAACCTTTAATTAAAATGCCTTTGATAAATTTTCAAGTTGATTTTTTCATATTACTATGTTATTATTGTTAGAAGCTTTATGGAATTTCAGGTTGATGTGGGCTTCAACTTCTGAAACTTCAGGGATGTACTCATGAAAAATGAGTATTCATGTAATGAAGATAAAAAATCGGGACGCTAATCATAATAAAATACACTTGCGTTTTTCTCTACATCCATTCTAGAATTCTCCTGAAAAAAGGGCATCCCGTTTCTTGCAGCCAATAATGCATAAATGTAACAAAACTTAGTTTTGTGGAGGATGAAACTTGTGCTTCCCAAACTGTCGAATAATTTCCCCACACGAAACTCACAAATGCTACATATTTTCGTTTGCTATACTACTAATCTCAGCAAAATCTGCAAAATATTCAAGCTCACTTTCAAACCAGGCAATTAATCAGTATCAGGCTTTGCTTCTGTTTCACCGCATTTTTTATCGGTGTCAGTCACGGTTATCTCAGTTGTGTCATGGCCCAAATAGTCTGCCCTGGTTTCTGAAACAATTTTTATGACTCCATCTACAAGAGAGCCGGCGAACTGATGCAACTCCGAAGTGACTGCTCCATTACTGCTGGTGTTACTCTGCGAATTGTCTTTTTTTCTTTGATGGACGGGCAAAGGTAACGATGAAGGCCTCAATTGGGTTTGGTGTTTTTGGAAAGGAAATATTTTGGCTGCATCTCCCTGGGAAGAAGCATATAAACATTTGAATAAAAAGCCGCACTATTTAGAAAAAATGAATTTCGGAGTTTTTTTTACCTGCGGGGTATGAACTGCAACGATTTCAGTTTGGGTAGCAATTCCGTTTTCCTTCAGTTGATGATTAATGCCAGCGCTCTGACTGAAAACTGTCATTACCTTCACTATGTCCTGCATCGAATTTTGCAATTGCTGAATCTGAAAAGTCAAAAAACATTTTGCAAAAAAAAAATTAATTCAATAAAAAGTGAAAAACAAGCACTTTTCCCAATTACCAGAACTGCAATACCAACTTAGTTGGTGAAACGAGCGTCGAGAAGAATTTTGCAGTTTTGGTTATTGGGAAAAGTAGAGAAAACTGTTTTCTTCAACTCGTGGAGATGCCAACTTGGTTGGCCATTAGCTTGGACATTCGTCAACTGGTAACTTTTTTTTTCCACTACTTGGGAGCCATCTGATTTGACCATTTCTTCATCTCCAGAAAACAATGCAGCCTCATGGGCTTACTATGCCTTACAATCTGCTTTTTAATGCTAATGCATCTGAAAAATTTATAGCGAACTGGTCTAGAAGCAATTATCTTACTATAAATGATAAAACCAAAACATTAGATTTCTCAACTGAGAATAATATAAAAAATAATGAACCAATCATGCTTCTTGGAGTGTATTTTGACTCATCTTCGAATTTCTTTCCACCTAATCATAAATTATCAAAGCGCCTATCCACGTGTATGCAGTGCATCTCTTTAATGTCCCCCCACCATTTTATTTTTTGAACAGGTCAACTCAAAAACTTGAAATTTGCGTTAATGAAATTAATGCATGAATACTTTATTTTGAAGTGAAATTGACAGATAAAACTTTCAAGATGGCGACTGGGCGCCATCTGGGAATAAACATTAAATGGAAATGGGGGGCCTTGTAACACATCTTTGCGAAGCTCCAAACAAATGCTTCACAACTCTATAATATGTCACTTGAGAAAGCTACTGTGCTAGCGAAACATGTTGCGGTTATATGTTTCAAATAAAGATTATGGAGATCAAATCGTAAGGTGTAGTTTTTTAAATTAATGTCAATATCTTCAACTACTACAAAACGGCAGAACTTTTAATAATTGTCTGAATACATTGACATGTAACATGGTTACAAAGCTTAAAAATAGTACAAAATAATACATATGCTGGAAATGGTTCCCTTGAACTTCTTGACAAATGAACAGCCTATCCAATATTTCACGCCGAACATTTTCGAACACAGTAACGTCAATATATCTACAAATATTTATTATTCTCTGCCGTATATCCAATATTGAAGCACAGTATCGTACACCTTTTGCTTCAAATAGCCCCACAAAAAAAGTCCAAAGGTGTCAAATCTGGCGAGCGGGCTGGCCATTCTGTAGGACCTCGATGGCCAATCCAACGACCAGCAAAAGTAGTATCTAAATAGTGTCTTACTTGTTCAATTTAATGAAATGAATGAAAACATTTTTGTCTTATTACCACTAGTTGATTTTATTTATACGACCGGTTTCGGGTTTGACTCCATTATCAAGTTTTATACTTAATAAGACAAAAGTGTTTTCATTAATTTCATTAAAGTGATCATGAATTACAACAAACTAAACAAGTCATCAATCACACATATTGTCTTACTTGTCTGGAGTAATGCGGTGGTGCTCCATCTTGTTGGAATACAATATCCATATCGAATTCATTAGGATTCGCTTTGACGATTTCAGTGATAGAGGGTTTACAGTAGTTTCCAGCATATTCAAATACAGTTTACCTGTTTAATTTTGATCAATAAATAGAGGTCCTACAATATGGCGCAATCGTTAGGTTTTTCTGGATATTGGGTATGTGTTTCCCGGAAAACGTGAGAGTTGGTGTCACTCCAATAACGGCAATTTTGTCTGTGAACATTGCCGTTCAAAAAAAATGTACATTCGTCACTAAAACAAATATTGTGGAGATAGGTAGGATGCCTTGCAATGGTTTTCGTCATGATTTTGCAGAATTCTGCTCTTCGATCAGGGTCATCTTCAGTTAATAGGTGTACCATTTTAATTTTGTATGGATGATACCTATTCCTCTTCACAAGTCTCCACGCAGTAGAAGGAGACACCTCACAAACATTCGCGACGGAATAAGTAGACCGGTTCAAGATATACTACCATCTCACCAATTATTTGCACTTGCTGTTCTTCCGGAACGGACGGATGGCCTGAGGGCTTTTTGTTATGTACACTACCGGTAGTTGTGAGTTTGGATACAAGTTGGATACAATATTTTCTACAGATAGAACGATTCGGAAAACGTTCATTGAAAATCCTTTTGGTCTCGTGAAAGTTATGCGTCGCACCGCAAATAAAAATCCCTTCAAGTTTTTCTTCTAATGGACGAGAATTGACCATTTTAGAGATTGTTGACGTGGTACCTTTCTACTAGTAAAACCGAAAACAAAATGAGAATATTCTAACTGAACAATGATGTTCATTGTTGTACTGACATTTTTTGACAAAAAATAACCTAACAAACCTTACCGGGTTGTTGGAATTGCCATATGGCATATAAAAAGGAATATTTCTAGAAATATCGATATTAACGTGTTTGTCTTCAGGAAATTATTAAATGTTCCGCCATTTTGTAGTAGGTGAAGATATTGACTTCATATTCTAGGGTTGTCAAGTATTCGTCAGAAGCTTCAAAAAGATGTGTCACAAGACCCCACTTTCCATTTAATTTTTTTTTCCCAGATGGCGCCCAGTCGCCATCTTGAAAGTTTCATCTGTCAAAATTTCACTTCAAAATAAAGTATTCTCAACTTAAATTATTCAATGATTGTAACCTAAATTATTCAATGATTGTTTAAAACGACCATAAGAGACACCAAAAATACTGATGTTTTTGTCATCTAGTAACTTTAGGGTTCTTTCCAAGGGTGTATGTTTGCCATAATTTGTATGTTGGAAGGGTATATGCAATAAATGGCTATATCTAAGATTCCTGTTTGGAACATGAATGTTGACAGATTCAAGTAATTCAGGACAAGTTATTAGTCCATTGAGCAGCTTGAATGCATAGCAAGACCCAACTTGTAAGAACAAAATCTCAGAAATTTATTTTGTACTCTTTCTAGACACATAAAGCACATTGTAAAATGGAGACCAAATGATACATGCATATTCTAACTTAGACACCACTAGAGCTAAATAAATCCTTTTTAATGCTTCAATGCAAAATCCTGAACAATAACGTAAAATAAGAACCAGTGTTTTGGATGATTTCACACTCACATGGTTTATATGATTTACAAATTTTAGTTATTATTTATCAGTATTGGCAAGAAACTTTCTTGTTGAGGAGAAAAATTAAAATATTGCCTAATGGCACTATAAACTTGAAATCGGTGTGCAAACACTGATATGTAAACATCACAAAATACCCAGCTGTATCATAACAAAAAATAAACATACCTGAGATTGCAGCATCGTACATGTTTGAGACAATTCTTTCACAACCTCAGCATTATTTATGGATAAATTTGTCATATTCAAATTTGATGTTGAGCTGGTTTCTCCTTCGGATGGTTGAAGATTTGAAATTTTCTTCCAAAGTGCACTAATGGCTTCGGTCTGCAACATCTGTATTTTCCTCTCACTTTCTAGAGCAGCTTTCGTGGTCTCCATATCAGTGGCAAGCTTCCTGAAAAAATTTTTGATTTTGGAAATTGAGTGAAAAATTTAATTTAATTTGTAGTGGAGTTCTTTCTAAGACACTTTAGAAGTAGTTCAAAATTACTTCAAATTCTATCAATATTTAGGATATCTGAATCAGTCATTTGAAAAATCTACCTCGTAAAAACACATTATGCAATAGAGTAGAATATATTTATCGACTATGTTATGACAATATGAAATTTGTAGCATGTCAAAATAGGTATATGACGATCAATTGATTTGATAAATGTACGTATAGATAAAAAATAATAATGATGAAAGACACAACAAATGATGAAAAAACATTTGAAAAAGTGAAAATTTCATCATTTTTAAGTGCTGTAGTGATACCCTTATTACTATTATGCTTGATGTTTTGAATTGGCAATCCATTTTCTCTAGTAATGGTTTTTTTAATTGTATCTGTTAGTAATGGTTTTTTTAATTGTATCTGTACAAATTTCATATGATTCAGATTCTGAGCTACTTAAGAGTTCTTTTCTCAAATTTAAAACTAAAAAAAAGGGAATAATGGCATCCAAGCATACGTATTTTTATGCTGCACCTCTATCATTATTTTTTAACAAACTTAACCCACAATGAAGCTAGAATTTGGAACTATGATGCAGACACTTTCGAAAAGAAAACATGTATTGTGACAAATATCCAAGTATGTTTGCTTATAGTTACCACAAAAGTGATAAGTAGAGTATTTGTATATATGTACAAGTGGAGTATTTGTGATAAGTGGAGTGCAGTTTGTATGTACTAGTAACTTCTCAAAAACAAGCAGGGAAAACAGTACAGACTATTTCAGTGTTGAAATAAGAATAGTGAAAAATTGTTATATAAATAGTAACTGGATCACCATTTTTCAGCACTAAATACACCATAACATTGAACAAATATCAAATGATACATCACAACATTGATCATAAGCATGACAAATTAACAGACGTTTTGGTTTTGATGACATAATTTGAAATATTGGAAAATCCATTCATTACATTTACATTTCAAAAATCAGATTTATACACTTTGCAAAATTCGAAAACACTATAAAAATTTAAATACAGGGTTAATCACCACAAATCCAAGGTGTTAATAAAGGATACATATTGTTTCCAGTCATGTTAACACAAGGGTTGTTAGCTATTGATACTTTTGTTAGATTGACAAGATTGACAAGTCTTGACACTTCATTCAAATCTCCAATGTTATTATTAGCTAGTGTTAATGTCATTAGGCTTGTAGGTAGAAACCGATCACATTGACTTAAATGATTAATTTTATTTTTGTGCAAAAATAGTTCCTGAAAATAAATGTAAGGTTATGATGATGAGTAAGACTAGAGTCCTTGAATATATTTGACTGATTAAATCGTTCTTAATTCATAAATATTAAAATTTGAAATTAGCATTACTGAATATCATGAAATAAACCTACATTTTGAATTATGATATTACTGCCATGTTCAATTTCAAAAACTCCAAAGTCAAGTTTTATTCAGGGACTAGATACATGCAGTTCTTATATGTACATAAACATTACCTTGAGATTTTGTAAAAATGACAAATCTGTTATATGACTAATAGCATTTTCCGATAGATCCAAATGTTCCAAATTGATGTTAGTATTAAGATGTTCAATAGTCTGAAACAATTGGCGTTATTCAAAAGATCCTAATAAATGCCCAAACTGCCAGTAATATTTTTTTTTTGTATTATTCATCCTAGTTTGAAATTTAAAAGAATTCCTTAATGAGAATTTCATTAACACTGTTTTGTTGATGTTGAGTGGTAGATGGTTTTTAGTAGCCCATGTAATTACTTTATTATAGACCACTTCAGTTAATTCTGGAAGTACTATGGGATTTTTTGCTTTAATCAAAAGGTTGGTGTCGTCTGCATATTCATAGTATAGTGGATTTGGATATGAGTTTCTCAAATGACTTATTAACATGTACTGTTGTGTTATTGCAAACCATTCGTAAATTTGGTATTTAGTTTTCATACTCGATGATTTTCAGATAATGTGACTGTGATTTTGATACATCATTCATTGGTTTTTCAGGTTTTCAAAATCAGCTGATTCAGAACGCATAAATAAGATTTTAGAAAATAAGTGTTATGATAAAACAACTATGGTACAGATTCTTAGAATAACGTATTTTGTGATACAAAATATTGTTGTAAATTGTCTCCTGAAAAAAAAAAACGCCAGCCGCTGCTGATCTTCGTCAATCGACTGTGACTTGGCCAAGGTAGCGCTCAACTCTACTTGTGTTTCTCGATCGTTCTAAGTATCGCATCGAGAAGATTTCTATCGGCTTCCAGAGACTTCCATTAGGATATATAAACACTACCAACAGGCAGACGGGGTGTCTATTCGAAAGTATGGTACGAAATGGGCTAATAAGGTGATAGACATTTGGAAATTAGTCTGAAGTTCGGTTGAAGTGTTTGTGTTGTATTGTCAGTGTAGTAGTGAATGACGTTGAGTTTAATTGTACAGTGCTGTCCATTATTGTCGGGGAACACATGACAGCATACTCTTCTTGTCTAGTTTTTATTATTCATGGGATAACTTTCAATCAGTTCAATGTTTTTTAAACAAACAAAACAGAATAAGGAAGGGACACAAAAAACCAAATGATACAAATTTTATATCTATTTTGGAAAAAAATTATTAGTCTCATTTCTAAAATTTTGCCATCTCGGATGAATTTATTGTTTTATTTTCCTACTATAAACATGTATCTTGGAAAAATAAATCGTTATTATCTTTCGAAAATGCTTTTGAGTGCGATTGATACCCATTTTAAAAAAAGATAGAAAAATATAGGAAAATTAAATATTTCTTTTAATATGTTGCACTGTTTAATAAAATATGGTATCTTCCATCTAATAAAAGGAGAATAAAATGAAGAATTATTTTACTAACTATATAATAAGCACAAATTTTCAGGTATTAGGTGAGTCATCTGTTAAGTATCTCTTGTTGATGAATTTATGTATCTATCAATGTCTATTCTTTGTATTTTTAAACCACTGGAACACGGCAAAACTAACTTTCAGAAGGATTAATTCTCATTATTGTCAATGGAAATATACAGTAACAGACACACACTTGAAAAAACACTAATGAAATGTAATTTGGCAAAATAATGATTATTCTGGGAGCCAACTTGTTCTTTCCCAACTATACCTTCAAGTGAAAATTTACCATCAGATCACCAGCCTAAATATAAACTACCATGGCCCTCTATTACAAAACATTCAAACCATAACTCACTGAATATACTGATTGGCTCTTTGGCTTTGTAATTCCTTGAACATCTCTTGGACTTCCTTATTTCTGTTTCGTGTATAGAAACCTCGCCACATTTTTTGTATGCAAACAGCTGCTTGCTCCACTTTATCCTCGCAACTTCCGTTACTAGCAATCTCCTCCTCTTTCTGTAATCTTCTCTCCTCTACTTTCATCTGAATCGTCTGCAACTTAGCATCTCGTATTTCTGATTCTTCTTCGCTGCTTGGTGATCTGTTTCTCAAAATAGACGTCCTTTTGTTGGGTTCAACCTTACTGAAAAAGAAATATCCTAACCTGAATATCAGTGAACTATAAATTAAAGCCTCATAATCAAGATCCACAGAAATCCTAGTATTGCTCCCGATTTACTTTTATTTTGTCGAAAGTTTTTAACACGATTAAAGAGAACCCAACTTTTTACATGTTGATAGACAGTCAGTGAATCGAATTCTGCAATGTCGATTACATCTAGGATGATTAAATAAAAAGTACTGTGCTGAAAGTAGAGAAAGAGTGCTTCTTTAAATAGCTTCAATTTTATTCAGTAGCTGGATTCAGCGTTTACTCTCTATTATATTCAGCGGTAAAGCGCCTTTAACCGCTGTTAGGTGTTTTCCGCACCTCCATTGTGATTCCACATTTATTTCATTGTTCATATTGATTTTCATTTCTCATTTCATGTTTCTTTTACAGTAGTAGTGCTTATTGAATCATAATGGATTACAATGTTATTGCATTATGTGTGAATAATATCTTGTAGGGCTATTCACATATCCATCAATATAAAGTTGCAACTCTTAGTATAACATCTTTTTCATATGTTGGAAGGTAATACCTCGTTGACCCTTAGCTCGCACAATTTTGACTTCTGTGTGTTGTCATTCATGAGAAGGCATCACACATATCCTCAATATTCATATACAGTAGAATTCATATATAACGACTCCGCTTATAACAACTATCCGTTTACAGCGATGATAATATTTACTCATGTTTAGTTTCATATTTAGTTATTGAGAAAATATACCGTTTAGTGCGACTCCGGTTTAAGCGACCAACCGCTTATAGCGACCGTTTTTCATGATAATACATCAGGTTAAAACGTCGCGCCATGTTTTGTTTACACAATCTGCACACCAATACCTCGGCGCACTACCTCTTCTTAGGTATCTCTATTGATAGTAGTAGTATTCTACTAACAGGTAGTATTTTTAGGTACCTCTATGGGTAGGTACTACTAACAGATATTAATAGATTGATGATTAATGAAAATAGACTAACTTGGATGACGATGTTATGAAAACAATAATGTCGCGAATTCATAATGCTGTACGAAATTCTTACTACCGAACAAAAGTTTGTCAAAAACAAACTCAAATAACAGACTTTCTACGTTAGTAACACAGTTTTTTCGTGCATTGCGTCTGTATTTTATCTCTTTGTATTACAGTACATAATGTAAGTGCATATGCTTGTACATTAGGATATTTAAGAACTATTAAAATAAAGAATTTGTGATTCCTATAAAATGTTTTATTCACCTATCGATCAGCAATCCGAACAGATAAATGAAAGACTAATGAACTAATGTACACTTTACTGCCACAAAAATTAATCTGTTTTGTGTGCCGTCCGGTTAGTACGACATAGTATATCCGGTCCCTTGAAAGTCGTTATATCTGGATTGTACTGTATTTGAAACACTTTTTAAATAGAAATGAAAGGCATTAGTATGAACTTCATACAATAGATTATTGAAAGAATATTTGAAGGTCTAATGGGGCCTTTCAGTTAAAGATCACACCAAGTAAATATATTCCTCAATTTTATAAAAACAGTGTTGGAGAAGAAAGCTTTTAAATAGTAGACTGACGTTTTGCAAGGTTTAGCGATTGAAAAATTGAGTGAAAATTATTATAAGCATGTAAGATTTAGATTTACTTAATCTTCTTAACAAAAGTTCTATGCATCTTTCTTATAATGAAGCTAGAGATCCAACTAGCTTGCCTTACTTTGACATCACACAATTATTAGTCATCTTCCTCTGTCTTGCAGGAGACGGAGATCCACCTTTCCTCAAATCAGAGTTGACATGATTTCTGGGTCTGCCTGGGGTGCTTCTAATCGATTTCGGAGATCTGATGGATTGTGTCATTTTTGGTAGCTTGTCATTATTTACAGATTGTATCATGAGATTTGACAAAACTGAAGAGTTTTTTCCGCTGATTGGGGTTGGTCTGTAGTCGGGACTCATGAGAGATTCGGGTACGGGGACCATTTTTGACAGTGCTTGAAGGGGGCTATTAATTGGCTCTGAATCTACAAAAGTAAGGATTTCAAAAACAACTGGGTTTTTGAAATATTTTCCACCAGCTAGATCACAAACAGGTCATGTCAATTTTTAAAAATTCATCTTATAGAAAACGACCTCAAGTGACAGACGAAGCTCCAACTAGAACCTATGTTAGAGAGATTTCAATATTAAGGAGTTGTAACAACACCATGGCAGAGCTCAATAAACATCTTTCATCAAAATCTTACCTTCTTTAAGACAAACTACCCCCAAGTCCCTCACACAGTGTCATGACATAAATGAAATTCATTTACAATATCATCTGAATCTACATGAGATGAGATAAAAAATACTTACCCAAACATTTCTCTGAAATGATGTAATTAGACTCGTTGCTTGTTTTAGATGCAACACTTTGTCTCAGAATACTTGGATCTAAGCTTTGAGTCATAACTGAGTTACAACTTGAGTCACTAATATTACTGTAACAACTTGATGACATTCTATCTGGTGACTTTAAACGATTGCTCAACCGTGAAGCTGAAACAAATTTTAATGATTAATAATATGATAAATTTAAATTTGAACAACATACAACTTATCCTTGGAGAATGCTTGTTGGACGGTATTTTCTTCCTTAACATTGGAGAAGGGTTTGGAGTAACTGAAAATGTAATTGTTGAACATTATTTTCACATAATAATTTCGACCAAGTTCCTATGTTTTTTCATTAAAACAATGTTTACATGTAAGAATGAAAGTGAAATTTACAGCTGAAGATCCCTTAAGAAAACTATTCAACATTTACCGCTAATAGTGGAACTATTCTTTAAGATGAGGCCATTTGTTTCAAGATTATCAGAGATTACTCACAAGGCAAGTAAGTTACTCTCCTCCCATCTGTGGTCACATCTGATGGACAGTTTGCTTGATGTCTTTGACAGAAGAGAAGTACATCTGCAAGCTTATACAGGCGACTTTGTCATCTTTGCAAGAACCATGTTAGGGAGGGAAGACTAAATCCTCCAAAGAACACTGAAAGGTATTCGTAGTTGATGCCAGAGAGTACAGATGTCTTTAAACCCTGGCAATACTGTAAAAGCCCCCTTAGGCAGGATATAATTCAACTTCATTTTCAAGTGACGAGGTTATTTCATATGAACTATCTAGGAATTATCCTATAAAATCTCACATAGAATTATCACTTCAAAGTCGTACTACCGCCATGGTCATGCCATAAGATCTGTGGAAAACTTTGGGGCTTAGGGCCCGATCAAATTGTATATATATGATCATGTACAAAGCAATTACTAGGTGGACGAAAGCTATCCAGGAAACGAACCAGGCGAAGCTCTGTAGTGTAAAGAAGCAAGCTTGCCTGGCTATCTCTGGTGCTATCTGCATCACACTAAAAGTCACAGCACTCTAGAGTTGACAACCTCGAACAGTCAAATATCACCTGCCCTACTGTTGGTTCGCTAATGAGTCAAAAATACCTTCAGATTCTGGTGTATGTACGAGGGCGATCCGATAAGTACTTAGCCTATAAAAGAAAAAAAAGAACTCGTTGAAAAAGTGGCGATTTATTTCTCAACATAATCTCCTTTTAGCACGGGATCAAATCTGGAAGAGCACTTTTTTCTTTGCCAAATAGCGCCGTTTTGTTTGAAATTCGGCATCGACTCGGCCCAATAATTAGCCATAGTAGAGCCCTGTGACTGTTTTGTCCTTCTCCAGGTAGTCGATGTAGATTACACCTTGTGATTCCCAGAAAAAGGTGGCAAACACCTTTTCTTCGCCTTCTTCGAAGCACGTTCGCCGGGTGAAGTCCACTGTTCGACTATACCGTGGTCTCTGGTGTGTACCAGTGGATCCATGTTTCGTCGACGGTCACGAAACGACGCAGAATCTCCTTCGGATTGCGATTAAACAGCGTCAAACATTACTCTGAAGTGGTCTCACGGTTGCGCTTCTTTTTCAGAGTGAGCAATCGCGGCACCTATCACGCGACAGCTTTTTCACAGCCAAAATTTCATGGACGATATGACACACACGGTCTTTTGAGATGCCCACGGTCTCAGCTATCTCGCACATCTTCAATCGGCGGTCTGCCACTTAAATCAATAAAATGAATCTCGGATAGCCAAAGGACACTAGGAGCATTTCGCTCTCACAGAGCAGTGTCCAAATTGGTATCCAACTGCCAAAATGAAATTAGCTTCGATAATTTAGGGTTTTGTCAAACAAACACTGAATACCTGGACTACACAGAGATTTTTAGACTTCTGGCAAAATCTACCAGAAACAAAACACCAAACAATTGTTAGACTACAGCATCGTATGAAGAGACTAAGACTGTCAGAAGATCTGGCATGTCGTCTCTGTGTGACAGTTTCAGTTGGACCTGAAACGTCATACACCAAACGAAACAATCAGCCATGGTCAAAAGCTGGCCTTATTTAATCATCGAAAATGACATAATCTTAGATCAACAACAGAAATTACATACACGTAACGACATGGCCGTATAAAAATAATTTGAAAAACATTACAAATAAATCAAGCACACTAATGTTCTCCATGCAGTCACCATAAAAAAATCTCCATTCAAAAGTAATACAAATGAATTACTTCGGAAGTGGTAAACATACTTGGAATAACTTTCGATTCTAAATTGTTTTGACAATTCATGCAACAAATAAGAAATAGTTGCTATGCTTTGAGATTTATGTCAACTAGATGTGGTAAGGATGTCTTCCTAACATTATATTATGCTTATTTTCATTTCCATATGGGTGTATGGTATACTTGACTAGGGATGCCAGATTGAAGAATAGATATGCTTTTAAGAAATATAAAATTGTAACGCTTATGGGCAATTACACAATCTTGTACTTTCATGTATAACAACAGGGCTATTTATATGGAAACTTGTGGTTATCATGAAATCATTAGAACCAGAGACCTGATATTTCCAAACCAACATCATTCAGCCTTCTATAAAAAAAAAATAGAGATCATGCAAATGCTTTAATCATCTTCCAGCGAATATTTAGAATTCAACCAATGGACATTTTTAAAAACCAGCTAAAAGACTTCATTATTGAAAAATGTCAGTTTCATCATATTGCTGCAACTCATGCCCGAAAGAAAATAACGCCGGCCGCCACTGGTAACCATAAACTAAACGTGACGTAGCTAAGAGCGCGCGAATGTACGATGATTCCTCACCACTCTAGAAACAGCGAGAATAATGCTACCGACTTAGACGGAAATACGGCGAAATTTTTACGGCATTCGTTTACGATATTTATAGGCTAGCCACGAGGATATCGAGACAGTCAAGTGGACGTTACAGTGCGGTACGCAGAGTGATCTAGTAAGGCGACAGACATTCAAATAATAGTTGAAGTTTTAGTTGAAGTGGTTGTTGTATTTGAAGTGAAATAAAGTTAAGTTTGATTATTCAGTGTAGTCAATTATTGGTCAACCCACGGGGAAAAACATAACAATATTGTACTTTTAGTATTCTAACATCAACCATTTATTGTTTTTATATAATTTACTTGATTTTTTTCAACTAAAATGGTGTGAACCTTAACAAATCAGCGGAGCTGACCTAACCTAACCTACCATTAGTAGAAGATTGCTCCCTCAACTGCTGTTGATGGTGTTGTGCTTTACTCAAGATCAACCTCAACTTCCTGTCTTCTTCTGTTTCCAAGGTTTCACCAGTAAGGGGACAGACTGTTGCCAAATACTGGACGAGTTCTTTCTGATCGCCGACTCTGTAATGCCTTCCTCTACCTTGAGAATATAACCATTCAGCTCTCAGGCTAAAAGTTAACAAAATGCAAAAATTGTCTTTGACAAATTTTTGTTTTGATGGAAAACAATTAATCAATTTATTGAGTGTTATTCAAAATTTAGATCTACCATTTCAAAAAAATGCTAGTCTTCACAATTGATTGAGAATGTACATTGACTAAAATGGAATTGTATTGTAAACAACAAAACTGCGCAAATTAAAATTAATAAAATGTCAGAAGAAAATGTTCAAGTTCAAACATTTCATTGAAATTATTCAATAGACAATAATGTTTAATATAAACTGAACTGTTTTCCATCATTATCTCAGACGCCTACAAGAGGAGTTTTTTATAACTAAGAATTACCTTTCAATTGCATCAACAACGTAATCATCAATTACATTTACATTCAAGCACCAGTTAACAATGAATGGACGGTAATCAAAACCTCTGGAACATGTTAAGGAAAAGCAGACTGACCACAAAAAAACATGAAGCATTGTAGTAACAACATAAGTAAGATAGCTATGTTTGTTAAAACTTATTATAGGTGAAAAAAATACCAATGTTACGTTCAAGCAAATTTGTATATTGATTATATAAAACAAAAATTTCCTCCAAACATGTAAATGAAAAATAATATACTTTCAAACCTTTATGAGGTACCTTCGCATGATTCATAAGCTGTCTCTAGTAATGTTTTTTTTAATTGTATCTGTACAAATTTCATTTGATTCAGATTCTGAGCTACTTAGAGTTCTTTTCTCAAATTTAAAACTAAAAAAAAAAGTGAATAATGGCATCCATGCATACGTATTTTTATGCTGCACCTCTATCATTATTTTTTAACAAACTTAACCCACAATGAAGCTAGAATTTGGAACTATGATGCAGACACTTTCGAAAAGAAAACATGTATTGTGACAAATATCCAAGTATGTCTGCTTATAGTTACCACAAAAGTGATAAGTAGAGTATTTGTATATATGTACAAGTGGAGTATTTGTGATAAGTGGAGTGCAGTTTGTATGTACTAGTAACTTCTCAAAAACAAGCAGGGAAAACAGTACAGACTATTTCAGTGTTGAAATAAGAATAGTGAAAAATTGGTATATAAATAGTAACTGGATCACCATTTTTCAGCACTAAATACACCATAACATTGAACAAATATCAAATGATACATCACAACATTGATCATAAGCATGACAAATTAACAGACGTTTTGGTTTTGATNAGAAATCTGGAGTTCATGAGCTTAAGTGTCCAGAATGTAATAGTGTTTATGTGGGACAATGTGGTCGAAATTTCTCAAGACCTTCTGCTGAACATGAAAGGTCCTTCAGACTAGGTAAAAATGACGTATTGGTCTATTGAACTGCCTGATTAGTAAGGATCTACTTTCTAAGGTATACAATATAAAGTACACAATAAAAGCTGTATGAATGTGTTGAAAACTACAAACATAGAATCTGAAATACTGAATCTGAACTGAATTACTTCAGACTACTGAAATTCAGATAATTCCATGTGTATTGTTCTAATGTTAGTCATTCAAAAAGTTCTCAATAGCATAGTAAGTTTTCAAGAGTAGTATATCTTTTGAAATAGATTCAAATCAATTTATTTCAAGATTTCTGAGCTTGTTCTGGATATATATAACTATAACCATTTCAAAAAAATGCTAGTCTTCACAATTGATTGAGAATGTACATTGACTAAAATGGAATTGTATTGTAAACAACAAAACTGCGCAAATTAAAATTAATAAAATGTCAGAAGAAAATGTTCAAGTTCAAACATTTCATTGAAATTATTCAATAGACAATAATGTTTAATATAAACTGAACTGTTTTCCATCATTATCTCAGACGCCTACAAGAGGAGTTTTTTATAACTAAGAATTACCTNACAATCGCCCATGTATCATTTTGTCTAATCAACAATGTGGAGTAAAAATTTGTCAGTTGGATACACTCAATTTTTTCACTCGTCATTTTTATTAAAACAATTCTTCAGGGTTTACCTACATCCTAGATCACATGGACAATTCATTCCTCTACTCCCCTTGATATAATTGTTGGTAATATGGTAAGTGAATGTTTAGTTACCAAATTGATTTTAATAGGCTTTTTCATCACAATTTGAATTTGTGCATGTGCGCAAGCATAAGCCATGTTTTTTGTAAACAAACGTGTTATAATATCAAAAAAGAAAACTATCAATGAGAGATACATACGTATAAGAAAATAATAAACCTAGAGTGATAACAGGTTATTAATAACTTGAAACCAATACCCAGTATTTTATAAACTTTACAAAACCTTGTTAAATCATCAAGTAAGGTTCATATTGCAACATGTCATAAACGCAGAAAATGTGAGTTATGGGTGAAAAAATTTGGCCGCACTGATAGTGGTTTTGGAAAGAATGATGATGTTGATGAGATACTTATATTTGCTCAATGCATTTTTATGGAGGAAATAGATGAACCAATTGATCAGGTGGTTTAGTGCAATAACACTATTTTCGAAAATATCACCTTACATTTAGCCTCAAAATTTCAAATATTAAGAATGTATTATTTCTATAAGTGGTGACAATGAATTATCATAGCTCATTACAATAAAATTATTTAATGAATATTCAATTTTTTTTAAATTTGTATAACATTGTATTGATAACTAACCTTTCTGCGAACTTCTGCAACATTTTAGCGACCTTTTTAATTGTTCATAAGCATATGCCACCACTGAACTGGATGATTGCTACACCATAAATAGATTGTTCCAATAATTTATTCGTCTGTATTTTCCCAGCCATTACTGGCAAAACTGTACGAAACTTTCAAACTATCGCTCTTTTACATGTCACAGGTTTGCGTTTGTGCCATGATAAAAAGGCCTATTCACTCACATCGTCGAAATAATACATATTACTATAAAACAAGGTCATTTACTGAGCAGTTTAAGCATTGGAGCAAATTAGAAGCACAGGTTAGAATGACATAAAATATTGCTGTCACCTTGATACTATTACCAGCCAAGCACAACCATTTCAAGCTAACTAATTCTTTCAAACCCTCAATTGTGAGAATCCCATTATGTGAGAGATTTAATGTGTGAAGAGAATGAAGTCGGCAAACACCATACATTCGTAATAGTTGATTACGAACTGCTGATAGCTGAAATATTTACAATTTAAATGCAAAATGACCTTTCAGTTAATAATTGAAAATAAAGAACAGACCTTTAGAAGTTTAGTGAAAGAGTCAATGTTATCCAAACGTTGCAGTTCATTGTCGTCTAGAATTAGATTGATAGCCTGAGATTCGACTTGTGTGGGTTTATTCAGTTTCTTAATTTTTTTGTTTGATAAGTCCAAAGTGTCTGACGATTCCTCTGCAAGTTCAAATAATTAACAGGTGCCCACAGGAAATGAAGGAGGGGGTTCCTTACCCATTTGAGATCAAATAATAGTCATGTTAGTCAGTCCTATTGTTTAATGTTCTACTATTCTTTAGAACTAATGGAAAATATTTAAATTAGAATCATATAACAATACAAAAATATTAACATTAAATGGTTTGACTTTGACAGCTATTTTGCTATTTTATCTTATATTTTTATTCTTCTTCTCTTATACAAGATGTTTTTGTCGCAAAATGGCGGTGAAAACATTAGGAAAAAAATGAGAAAATGGCATTTTGTATTGAAATACAAATTATAACATTTGTTAACCTAACGAAAAATCGCTTCAAATACCTATTGTGGGAGTAGTATTGGCAGAAACATAATACCTGACCGATAGTCGAAGGAAGAGTTGAATTTTTCAGGATTTAGCAAAAAGTGTTTGCCACTTGCCTATAAAAGTATTCGTTGTGAATGGAGAGAGATTAAATCTGGTATCTCCAATGAGAGATGTGGATAAGAGATGAAAGTGTGCAGTTGTGAAACAAGTCAGTTTAATAAGACTTAAGCCAAACAATTGATCAAAGAGTATAAATTTTCACGACCGAAGTTATGTCAAAACTATTTCCAAGTTTGTTGGCCGTAGTTTGTGAAATTCCATTCCAAACATTTCGTTTACAACTGCAGTTGACATCAAAAGTTATGAGATAATTTACGAAGTGATCTATTTGTCCTTACAAATATCCTCACAAAGCATTACTATAGTATGTGTAGTTAGAACAACTAGAACACTTCGTTCGTTGCCTCATCGTCTTTAATCATATCTACCGTAGTTGTTAACGAAAAGTGAAACTTTATTTTCTTAGTGACATGCCGGAACCAGTGTAGAATTTGTCAAAGAACAATAATCTACATACTTAATTAAAATTAGAACTACAACTAAGACTGAAAATATTCCAAGAAGTAGAATTTACCTTTTAACAAGTATTTTCCTAACACTTCGTTCGTTGCCTCATCGTCTTTAATCATATCTACCGTAGTTGTTAACGAAAAGTGAAACTTTATTTTCTTAGTGACATGCCGGAACCATAAGATTAGTCTCTGAAAATGGCGCATATAAGTCTTTTCGCTGTCTTCTATTGATAGTATGAATTTGCTTACGAGTTCTGTATAAATATATACAAATACAATTTGATGAGTTTTAGAAAAATCTCTACAACTAGGGATACGAGGAACACCAGCGGTACAACCAACTTTTTTTGCAATATGAACACATCATTGAATATGTTTTGCTTGTCTTCTGGATCTATACGTAACGATCAATACAGAAATTCACACATAAGGTTTCCATTGGGATCTTTTGACCACAAGCTCGTTTCAGTGTTGAGTGAATTACCGATTCATGTTGGAGAACAATCTAAGCCGCGCAAAGTTTGGCATTAGAGATCTGCTGAATGGGAGGATCTTCAAGACCATTTCCGAAATTTCCCCTGACCAGAGGTTTGTTTCACCTCTAATGATCCATCGGCTTGTGCTTCTGAAGTCACGGAAGTTATTTTATCATCCATGGATGCATATTTTCCTTTTTCAATTAAACGAACTTCTGACGTCAAACCTTGGTTCAACAAAGATTGCGAGCAAGCTGTCTCCTCCGAAAATCTCTCCTATCGGCAGTGGCACAAAAATGCCAGTGCCGAAAACTGAAATAGGTTTGTTAATGCTCGCAACAGCTGCAAATTTAGAATAAACGAAAGCAAAAAACTTCACAATCAGAGAATTAGGAATAAACTGCTTGCCAATCCCAACGGGTCTAGTTCCTTCTGGTCGGTAGTTGAAGCTGTTAATCAAAACTTGATAAAATCCACTATTCTACCACTAACACAAGCGGATGGTTCAAATGCAACAGCAGCCATAGAAAAAGCAAATCTACTAGCTGAAAAATTTGCGTCCCACTCCACAGTTGATTTTCTTGGAAAGGCACCACCCACTATTCAAATGCATCTTTTCCACTTTTTATTCCTGTTTCTTTATACGTTAAGAATTTTTAAAATGCATTTTATACTCTACATTTAATTTTATTGTTACGTTTACAGCTTTTTTATGTAACTGTGTAATGTGATAGGTGACTTGTTCAAAATATTTGTATTTTTTATGGGCGCAATAAAGTTTTATTCTATTCTATTCCCACATTAGAATCCACAATGCCGGAAATTACTTTTCGACACCGTCTAGTCAGGTGAATTTTGAAACAGCTCAATATCAACAAGGCGTCTGGTTCTGATGAAGTGCCCGTCATCGTACACACCAGTATTTTGCAGACTTTTCAACCTATCTTACAAGGAAGGGGTTTTTCCTTCTTGTTGGAAGATTGCTCGCGTTCAGTCTATTCTCGAAAAGGACAAGAAAAATCCTCCAAATAACTATAGACCAGTTGCTTTGCTATCAGTGATATAAAAAATCATGGAGAAATCCGTAAACCATCATATCCTCAAATATTTGGCAGGCTTTAACATCACCCATATTTGGAATAACGCAATCGAGAAACATGAAGAATCAAGAGCTGTTGCTCTTGATATTTCTAAGGCCTTCGACCGAGTGTGGCATGGAGTTTTGCTGGCCAAACTTCGATGCTATGGCTTTGTCGGCAAATTTTTGTGTATGACTCCCTAGCTTCCTGAAAAAACGTTCCCTGCAAGTGGCCGTCGATGGATATTTCTCGGATATTTTTACCATCAACGCTAGTGTTCTCCAGAGATTCATATTGTCTCCAACCCTCTTTTTATTGTATATCAACGACTTATTGAAAAAATATGTTTAAAATATGTTTTCCGTTAACAAGCTGTCGCACCCCTACGAACGGCAATCCTCAGAAGTCGAAACTTGTGCGAGCTAAAGATTAACGAGGTCTTACCTTTTAACGTGTGATTCCTAACATGGGTTAGACGATAACGTCGAACCGCCTAGCTACCGACCGACCGAAAAAAAAAACATGAATCCAATATATTGCTTTGCTGACGACAGCACACTTGTCTCGTCATTCCATTTGGATTCCAGGACATCGGCTGCGGAGGTACATCTTCCCGGCAGCAAGAGGTTGCATGTCTTATTGAGGATCTAGAAGTGATTTTGAATTGGGGTGAAAGTAACCAGATTCAATTCAATGCCACAAAAACCCAGGCATCGATTTTCTCCAGAAAGATAAATGTTTCCGAACCGGATATAATAATATCAGGACAGAAAATTCCGCTTTCTGCTTCGATAAGTTTGTTGGGAGTTAAAATGGACACCAAAATATGTCTTGGCTCAATCATTTCACTGGAATTACACAGACTGCTTCTCAAACGTTTGAACACTGTTCCGAACCAAAAAACTGTACACACCTCAGCAACTTTTGATACTTAATAAATCTCAGATCAGACCTTTGGAGGCACCGCACAGGCACCGCTCTTACAGCGCCTTAAGGATTTTCCTGTAGTGCTTGTGTTTTGTCCTTTAAAAAAAGTGGATGAGCCCTAAATCAAATACATATTCCGTGTCTTAGTCGGGATTCGACCTGTGTATCATATAATATTATTAGTTGTTTTTCCGTCGAAACTGATCTCATGTTTTTCTGAATAGATAACTGACAGAGTTAAGTTTCAAAATCATTGTCTCACAGTGTCTCCTCCGGTCAAGACGCTCATCGATGTACCGGCCCAGAGACCTCTAAATTTTCCAAAACTTTATTATTAATGTTAACATAAATGATAGGAAATTGTTTTTGCCTTTTATGGAAATGTATTGACTGAGTTTTTCTTGCATGTAGATGCATTGAATTTATGCAGAGCCAGTCATAGAGAAAATGACTCAAATAACAACTCTTATATTATAATCTAGTTTTTTGTCAATGAAATCTTTACGAATAAACTAGTTCAAATATTTAATTATTTCAATTGGTCTGAACTTATTGGAATAAACGTGGTTATGAAACAAATATATATAAAATTCAAAGTAATTGAAGTAAAATAGTAGACACTGATCTCATTATAATTATCTGAAATGTTTTTTGATGTATACATTTTTCAAATACGAGACCTGAAGTTGAGAAATTAAAATTATCAATGGCAATAATAAACGAGTTGAAAAATATTCAACTAGGAAATATCAATGAAAAGTTGTAATGTCAAACCCAAAAGCAAATTGATCAAACTCCCATAGCTAGGGTTGAGTTATTTACTGACACTTTTGAAGTTAGGAATCGCTCTGACGTTAAAATTATTGATTGTAAAAGTTGATAAAATGAGCAATCCTATATAGTTATTAAATGTTCTTGCGATGGAACTTTATTCTATGATTTCATCTTCACCAACGGTGGAAATTAAAAAACCCTAATCAATGGAATCAAACAAAGTTCATTTTCAAAAAATAGCATTATTTCAAACATTTCACAAAAGAAAGTCATAGTAAGAGATTTTTCAATACTGTATGCAAATATTTTTCATAATGAAAATATATAAACATGCCCCAATAATTGATTGGAGTTCAGATTCAATGTTTTCTTCTATTTTATATTTGTCATAGCTAAGTGGGGGTTGGGTTTTGGGTTGGTTGATTTTGGCACTGCTTACTGTGATGGTTGGTGTTGGGTGTTGGTAATAGTGATCAAATAAATATGGAGTTTATTTGTGATATGATGACTTCACTTTTCTTGGAATAAAAAGCATTAAAAAAAACTGAGTATATATTCGAAGTGTAAAAAAAGTTCTATATCGTGTTATTTGTATAAAGAAATAATTTTTGCTTTACGTTATCTGGTCTATTCTCCGTTGCGATAAAAACTCAAACCACCAGACATCAGCTGATACTAGGGAATATACTGATAATTGAAAATAGTTTGATCAAATAATCCTGTGTTGTTCTTATTTTTGATCCTATAAATTTCATCAAACTGGAGCGATTACCAGAATACCTCCGGGATACCGTGGACTGGTTCATCGGGTAAGTTCCTTTTTTTTCATTGACTACATTAGTAACCATATTTTTTAACGAGGCTGATTTTGGTAAAAAACTTGTGTTCTGTAAACATACCTTAAAAAATTGGGTCTATGTATTTATGTAAATTAATTTCATCAGTTTTTATTTACAATCACAACCTGAAATCTCCCTTTCCACAGTTGATGTATGTGCGAACTTTACCCTCTAGATAGGGAAAATGATTTATTGTAAATGACTTTGGTTTTTTATTGCATTTGAAATTTGAATAAGATCACAGAAACGTCACTGGTAAATTTGAATAATAACCTTGAGGAAATTATTCATGCATCTAATGAGGGGGCCTCATCTTATGTCACTAAATAATAGGAAAGTAAGTAAATATTCAAAAAATATAAACACAAAAACAAGTTTGTTTTTATCATTTGAACTTACAATTAATTTTTGTAGAAAATCAAGTGTGAATTAAAAAGTTTGTATCAGAAAAATTAGTAGTAGTTAACTGCGTCTGAATTCTGACTTCTTTTGGTATAAACCTACATTTCTGGATTTGTCATACCTACATACAAATCTTTTTGTCAAGGTCATCTCTTTGGTAAATTGTACTGAGTAGGACATCAGCTCCTGGAAAATATTTAACAACTCATGTTAGTTTTTGAATCTGCACTCAAAACTTGGCACCCTGGTCTACTTTCAGGGGTACAGCCTGTTTAAGATGTTTTTACAAACTATGGTACATTCGGTATTGTCTGAGAGTGAAAGAATTTCAAGAATGCAAACATGCAGGTACATCAAAGAAAGCAACACAGTCGTCTCAAGCAAGTGGCACTGCAATTCGTCCACAAAGTTCACCTAATATAGTTTTTGACTTCTTCGATAACCAAACACTTTCTGTGGATACTTTTGACTCCAAACTGCTGTTGTTTTCTATTGTTATCGGTCATACTCGCGCATTTTTGCACTACAACCTCCCTACTTTTTATTTTGGGTAGATAACAATTGTTTTTACATTTATGTTTAATGCTGACAGTTTCGGACGCTTCACGGTTCCCGAACAACTAGCTTCCATGTTGTATAGATTTTTATTCAATGCGCAAAGGAAACTGAAAAATATCACTGAGACTAAGACTAACCCCTCTACCATGGCTTTTTAACTCCTAGCAGAAAATAATGTAATATTTTCTTCCTATGGAAAAAGCCAAGTCAGTTCTATTGATGGGTGCAGTTTGTCTGTTGACGGTATAATTCAAAGGAATATCTATTCATACCGCCTTCAAAAAAAATAATGTTTTTTCAAATCCCTTCAATTATATACTTATTTGTTGGAGACTGTCTTGATTACTACTGGGCATATTTTCACATTTATCGTAGTTGATGTGTTATTTTGTTTGTTATGAATGAGATTTTTTGAGAATAAATTTTGTGTATTCATTTGTTGAATTCGTTGTGAGTAAATGATTTGAATGCAGTACATCTATGACACTAATATGTACAGGGCGGGCCATCAAAATTTTGACATGGAGATTTTGGGTACTAATCTTGCAAATCCGCAAAAACAGTTTTTCCCCATTCACAGAGTCGTCACTTCAACCACAGAGTAGAGGGGTTACAACCCTTGGAATTTTAATAGGGGATAGGGGGCGAGTCGCACATCGTTTGAAAGTTCTTGGAATTCTGTAAACATCGGTGTACATTTTTAAAAATTTTGACGTATTTAAAAGAGTTGTTTCCGATAATTAACTTTTTCAATATTGTTAGTATGTAGCAACAAATTGTTGTACGCCACTGCTCAGTTGGAATGTATTTGGAACTCTTTCATTTGTTTCTTACGCTACTTTTTTGTTAATTTTTTAGTTCTCTGATAAGAGGACTATTACACTTGAGAAATGGTTAAAAATGCTGTTTCTATTTCTCATTTTTATGTTAAAAGTGATATCCACATTATTACTAGTAGTGAGTGCCGTAAAGTGTTGCTAAAGAAGCAATGGTTTACATAACTACAGAGAGGGTTGAGTTGATTGAACTGTACTATGGAAATAGATGTTGTGCTGCGAGAGCAGCTGAAGTGTTCAATCAACAACATGGGAAGAATGTGTCGCGACAGCATGTTTTCGATTTAATTGCAAAATTTCGCGCAACCGGATCTGTAGCAAATAAAAAACGGCAAATCAAACCACCAGTAACAAATGAGGCGACACAAGTGGCAATTCTGGGCCATGTTGAGCATGACCATACTTTGAGCACAAGAAAGTTAGCATTTGTTTCCGGGGGGTCACCAACTAGCATTCGGCGTATTTTAAAAACCCACAAAATGCATCCTTACAAGATTAAATTAACGCAAGAACTGAATGAAAATGATTTCGATCGACGCTTGCAATTTTGTGATTTGGTTAGTGAACGAGCGGTGGAAAATCCACATTTTGTTTTCAACATTTGCTTCAGTGGTGAATGTTTTTTTTTTTAAATAGCACAGACCTTTCGCTGTAAGATTTCTTTCTGTGGGGTCATTTATTTGAAAAGCAGAATTTACTGTACTCCTCCTGCATCACTCGAATATTTATGGCAACGAATCACAACTGAATGTCGCCAAATCACTTCAGGAATGCTCCACAATGTTCGAGAACGTTTCCAGCAGAATCTCTATTATTGCATGGAAGTTGTAGGTGCCCATTTTGAGCATATGCTAACATGAGAATGAAGTAACTTCAACTCTAAATTTAATATGGTTCGTCCAAATTTAAAAAAAAATACACCGTTGTTAAGAGAATTCCAAGATCTTTCAAACGATGTGCGACTCGCCTCTAGTTCCCTATTTAAATTCCAAGGGTTGTTCACCCCTCTGCTTCGAGGTTGAAGTGACGACGCTGAAGATGGGGAAAAAACTGCCCACCTCCTAATAAAAATCGACCTGTCTGAGCGTTTTTTTAGGATTTGTAAGATTAGTACCCAAAACCTCCATGTCAAGTTTTCGATGGCCCACCCTGTATAGACATACTGCTTTAGTTTCTCTCATTTCTAGACAGACTATAAAAAGATATTTCTCCAAAATAACGCCATTTTTGAAATCATGTAAATGATTTCGTTGCTTCACTAAAGGTTATTATTTGTATTTTATATTAGGAAAAGTTGAAAGTCAAGAAATAGAAATACTGTTTTCAATTTTAAAAAATTTTACTTTGTTTTGCTCTCTCTAGAAGATAAAAAGATCGTTACTTTTTTAAAGTTTAAGTTCTACAAACATGGTTTTAAAGAAAACCCTTTTTCCACATCAGAACAAAACCACTCTCTCCCGATAAGTGTCTCGCTAACCAAATCAGCATCGTCAGGAGATGATGAAAACTTTAATTTTACATCAAAGTAAGGCCTATTAATATATAATCGTCGTTAATAAGGTGCATTGAATGCTTCATTCTTACTGTAAAATACCAAATTGTTGATCTGAGTAATAATAAGAGTGAACAAAATAAATTATTAAGAGTTATGACACAAAAGTCAATATTGGGATCAAAAGTCAATATTGGGATTACTTCTGTTCATGATTTATTCTCAATGAGCTCTTCAGACATGGAAACTACATTGTGTGCAGATGATGAAACATGTCCTAATACTGAATGAACAAAAACAGAAATATGAACTTTTAAATTTAACTGATCTAATCAAGATAACAAGAATGTTACTAAATTTCTGGAAGTACAGATGGATTGCATTTTGAAATTGATAGAACATATTAATAATATATGTTCTAAACTGAATAAGTCGGTTTGTGCTATCAGAAAAGTTAAAAAGACAACAAATCAGATTGCAGCGCACGCAATATATCAATACATCAAAAGTACGTCTTGATGATTTTTAATCAGTCAGTCAGTTTTAAAAAGTCAAGTTCAATGAAAAGTGCCAATCAATATTTGTAAAAAAATGGCCCTATATTCAATCATTGTTTATGAAAATTTGCTTCTTATTCGATAGAACTTTGGGAATGAAGTCACTCATATGAATGTAGACCAACATAACACGAAAAATAAATCAAACCTGTTCCTACTTATAATAGACTGAAGAGAACAGATGATATGGGAATTAGGTTAAATAATGTAATATCTTTCGAGTTTCATAATTTGCCACTCAGAAGATTCAGATACTTATTGAAGAAAATAATAATGAAACATCCATTATATCATTAATAAATTTTTTAATGTCGTTCAAGTAGATAGAGTCATGAATTTATATATTTAAACTATTAGGAATCTCTATGCCATTCATTTTACTTGTGGTTTATAAAAATACAATCAATGGTATTACCATGTAGTCTACTTATGTTGAATTTGTATTTTACCTTTTAACTCATTGTTTTTTTTTATCTTATATTGGAAAATTGTGTTGACGTGTCTGAAAACCGTGTCTTTCTAATGACTAATAATAAAAAAATAATTATTATTTAATTTTATATGTTGAACCTTATTCAAAATCCATTCAACTTTTGTAATCCTTCATGACGAATTAATGAACCTGAAAAACTTTTCCACTTGCAATATCAAATGCAGTAAAGCTCTTTCATTACTATTTTAATTTGGGAAATTGCCCATTCCTCTGAGGCCATCTGTAGTTGATTAAAATTACAAGGAAGTCTATTACGTTTTGTTTGGTAGGAAAATCTAATAAAGACGAGCGTTTAAAGGTTTCACAGTTTGATTGGAATTGATCTTGTTAGTCTAATGACAAACAGAAAAAATCGGTTTGATTATTTAGAAGACGTGCAATGTGGTTGAGCCGTACTTTGGCTAAAGTTAAAGTTGACAACAGTTCCAAAAGCATTGTTTTTGGTGAACAGTCTGTTACTAATTGTTTTGGACGGTAAATTCATGCTTTTATGTGATTTTGTAGTAGAATGAATTTCATTACTTATCATTAGTTATTTATTTAAGAATCATAATGGTGGCGCATCTATACGCTGCCCATTTCAAAGAATATATCTGAGTTGCAGTTGTGTTCCTTATTTTCATTTTGAAAATTTTTCACTTTCAGTAAGGCGAGGCGTAAGGAAAAAGAAGGGACCGAATCGACTTCAAGCGGAGATTCAAAATTATATTTAGAAGCTACTGTTTTAGAAAGAAAATTACCAGAAATGGATATGAGATTGTTGGTGGATTTACCAGCTGGGTTGGACTATAATGAATGGCTTGCATCTCACAGTAAGTAGAACTTTGAGAAGTGAAGTGATCGTGAAATTTTGTTCTAGATCTTTAACTTCTATCTTTCCAAAATTCTTTTTGTTGTTTTTTGTTTGTTCATCTTTTTTTTCTTTTAGCTATGTCTCTATTCGATCATGTCAACTTAGTTTATGGTAGCATTAGTGAATTCTGTACGCCTGCTGGTTGTCCAGATATGACAGGCCCTGGTCAGAGGTATGGAAATCATTTGTATAGCAAGGCAAAGTTTTGTTAATGATTTTTTGTAGGACTTATTTATGGTTTGATGAAAAGGGGAAAAAGACGAAAGTTGCAGCCCCGCAGTATATAGACTATGTGATGACATTTATTCAAAAAACTATTAGTGATGAAAGTATTTTTCCTACAAAATATGGTGAGTCTTTATAAGTTTTAAATCTGTGAAGTATGACAAGACGAAGGACGTTTTTACAAAATATGTTACAATTTTAAAAATAGGTGACGTCAATGAAATAGTACGCTGTGTATCAAATTTAAACGTTTCAAGTGAAATGAAAAAATTAATTTCAAGAAGGTTATGTACAGCGCCATCTGCCCGCGAATAGATCGAGCAATAATGTCGATATATCAAGGAGGTTACGTACAGCGCCATCTGCCCGTGATTAGATCAAGCAATAATGTCGATAATTCTGTCAAATACAGATTCCGAGCTTGAGAGTTACAAATAAACATACATAAAAAAAGGTATCTAATTTTTCAGTGCAGAAGTACAGCCCAAAGGTATCTAGTTTTTCAGTGCAAAAGTGCAGCCCAAAGAGTAAATCTTAATCTACTATATTGACACCACTGTACGAGGTCTGTTCAAAAAATAATGGCAAATATTCAAATTTCGCGGGCTACATACATTCGATTAGCGATTGTTGATAAAGTGAATAAAATTGTTGTAGAGGATGTCGGCATATCGGTTGGCTCATCCCACGCAATTTTTTCGGAAGTTTTGGGCGTGGAGCATGTGGCAGCGAAGGGTTATAATTGATAACGAATCATGGCTATGACATTGAAACCAAAGTCCAATCGCCCCAATGGGAGAGCCAAGAAGAGTCAAAACCAAAAAAAGGTCGACAAGTTCGAACATATGTCAAAGGTTTTGCTCACTGTTTTCTTTGATTATTGTGGTGTAGTGCATCAGGAGTTCTAACCACATGGTCGTACGGACAATAAGGAGAATTATCTTGCAGTTATGCGCCACTTGCGAGAAGCAATACGAAGAAAACCTCCGGTATACTGGAAAAACAATTCTTGGTTTTTGCATCACGATAATGCACCTGCTCACTCATCATTGCTTGTTCGTAATTTGTTGGTCAAAAACATCACCGTTATCATGTTTTAGCCACCGTATTCATCAGATTTTGGCCCCCTACGACCTCTTCTGTTCCCAAGATTAAAGAGACCCATGAAAGGACAGCGTTTTGCAACAATTGAGAAGAAAAAAAACGAATCGCTGAAAGAGTTCAAGGACATACAAAAAAAAGTACATATCAGAACTGCATTGAGGATTGAAATTTGTAACCCGCCTTCGCGCGCCTGCTGCCTTGGGCTTGGTAGCTGATTTTTAGGCTTCCTCTCCGGAATCGGAAAATATTAATGGTCATTTTTCTAAACAATATACGGCTGATTGATCCCTAAGTTTAGATAAAACAAATAGAGTTTAAAAAGACAAAAAAACACGTTTTTATAGCATACGAACTAAAAAATGAAAAATAAAAAAAAGAATATGGAACTACAAAGTTGAAAAAATTTTTTTTAATAAGCTTGAAACAATAAACAATAAGGCGCTTTGTGCCATATTTTTTGTATATCAAGCGCTTGTCGCTTTTTTCACAATAATACTAGTATTTTTCGTTCGCTATTGTTTTAGGCTTATTTAAAAAAAATATTTTTAAGTTTTTAGTTCGATGTTCCTAAAAAGCTTGTTTTTCCTATGTTTATTATTCAGGTACAGGAAAATTTCTGTGGATAATAAAACTGTTGTATTTTAGATTATCCTCTCGTTTTTTTCTCTTTCATATTTACCCATATATTCATGTTTAGTTGTTCAAATTCCTGCAATTTACAAACAGTTGCAGGTATCAAATTTTTGATACATGAGAAACACAGTTTGTCCATTTGCCTTCGTATAAAGTTATAGATTAATGATAATATACCATATCTTGTTCAGTTCATTTGTCCCAATTCATAGTAGTTCTTTATCCTCGTAATACTAAATATATCATTCCGAAATGTTCCTACAATAAATGAAAAACACACACATCCGTTGCTTCAACAATCAGTTTTATTTCAGCGAATGAATTTCCCTCGTCGTTTGAGTCAATAGTACGAAAGATAGTTAGACTGTTATTCCACGTGGTGGCGCATCTATACGCTGCCCATTTCAAAGAAGTCGTCATGTTGGGTCTACACGCCCACCTAAATCTCACCTTCGCCCACCTAACGGCCCTACACCATCGGTTTTCGTTGATTGAACTAAAGGAAACTGAAATACTGAAAGACTTGGAGGTGGCCCTCAAGTTGACTGATGACTGTCAGGAGCCTGCGAACAACAATGATAAGTCCGATGACGTATCAGAATCGGACTCGAAAACTAGTTTAACGGAAACAAGCTGTGAGTAAATACCGAAAGAGTTTATGATGTAGTGTAATATCATTATTATGGGACTGATGAAATTTGGCTGGGATTCATCTTGAAAGTATATTTTTAAACAGGAGATTACCTCTTCAAAATTGTTGATTTGGTGTACTAAAGTAATGATATGGTGTTCATTTTTCATTTTAATTGACAAGAATACACAGTACATGTAAGTCTGCACTATACAGAGTGTAAAAGCCAAATGGAATGAATTCATTATTTTGGTTACTGTACATATTTAAAACAATCCCGAAACACGTCAAATGTAAATTATACTTTGACATTCTTCAACGTAAAAATGCCACCCCTACCTTCAACCCCCTTCGAATGACAGGTAAAACCCCCAATTTTTTAAATGGGAAGTATAGATAGATAGATAGATCGTTTGAAAGTTTATTGCAACAATTCAGATAAAATATGAAATCATGTAGTTACCGAAATTTGATAAAAAAACACTCAAAAATTAAAATGTAATGCAAAACGTAATGAAATATAGAATACAAGATCCTCGCCTCCCTAGCCACCGATCGGGACATTTTGTATCGAGGTATTGTCGGATATTAACTTGGTAACGTGGTGGTGCTCCATCCTGCTGAAACCATATCGTATTCACTGAAACTTGAGGGTTTCCTGGATCAGGATATAAATTTGCTAGACTTGGAATGACATCATTTTGAAGTAGTGCCAAATTATTATCGCCATTCAAGTTGCCGTCAATGAAAAAGAGACCAATGATATGGTTTCCTACCCAAACATTAACCTTATTAGGGTATTGCGTGTATTCTTCTCTCATCCAGTGAGGATTTTCCGTTGACCGCTAGCGGTAATTTTGCCGATTATCATGACCGTTGAGAGACAAAGTACACTCATCAGAAAACAGAACGTATTCTAATTGGATGATATTGTTATCCAACATGTCCATCATTTGCTCACAAAAATAAGTTCTTCTATCAAAATCGTCTTCCATGAGCTCCTGAGTAGCTATCATTTTTTAGGGATACATTTTATTTTCTTTTAATATGTATACTATCGATATATGGCTAACATTGAATGTAGTGGATGCCTGTCTACTCGATGTATGTGGGTTTTCCTCAAACTCAAGCATCACATCTAATTTGAGTTCATCACTCATTGCATTGGCAGCTGCTTTGTTTATCTGCCCCACATGAGCAAGCTCGCGAAACTGCTTCTCTATTTTGCTTATTGTTCCTTGAGATATGGGCGGTAAATTAGGAACTTTCTCATGAAATAGGCGAGCTACTTCCTGTTGTGTTCGGGTTTTATCTCCGTAACCAATCATTTGTAAAACTGTTACTTTATGCATTTCCGTTAATCTAACCATTTGTCAGACTTGAAGTTGACAAACTTTAAACTTAAATTAAAATACTGACAACTAATGTTGTAACATACAAAACAAGTTGACAAGCGTTTTAAACTAACGTTGCCACGGAAATTATTTACAGAAAAAAGAACATTGCTATGGTTTTTGCTTACTTTCTTATTATCAATACCTCAACATGAAATAAGTTTTGAGTATATTGCAATAAGTTTTGAGTGTATTTTATCGAATTTCGGTAACCACATGATTTTAATTTATTT